CACACACTCTAATTCTAATGAACGAAACAAGGCAGATAACTGTCTGGTGTGCTTTGATGATTTAATTAGATTAAGAATATGATGGTGATTGTGACGTGTTTCTAATTGGGATGATACGTTTTCATCAAAATTGACAGCATAAATATAATTATTGTTCATTGATGTAATAACTTAGCAATCCAGTTTTCAAAACAGATTTATAGCTGTTTAATTGTTCATAACAGTGGTTAGGTAAGTAGATTTACATTTCACATAAGAAGTAACATAAATATGTTTTATGGACCAGTTTTCTTTGCATAATAAATTATTTATCTAAAATGATCTAAGTATTTTGTTCCTATGTAAAGAACAGTACCTGATACATGAATTATATGTATATATACCAGAAAGCACTAGCACTGCATTGCTACAGTATTTACATACCCACAATTGATGAGAAGAAAAGGTCATATGCAAACTTATGTTTAAGAAAAAAAGTTTTATGTCGCTATTGAGTTCTTCAGATATTTTTTTTTTTTGTCTTGTTATTCAGAAGAACCTAAGGTTTAAAACCTCTCTCTCTCTCTCTCTCTCTCTCTCTCTCTCTCTCTCTCTCTTTGTAGAAAACAGAATTATAATTTGTGCACATTAGTACTCTAAATGAGGTTTGAAATTTTGTTATATTTTTCTTTACTTTGACCATCACTAGCTTATCTTTTCCATCTAGCTAATAGAATTGGTAAAATAGGACCATATTTGGAAGAGTAATTCCTTTTGTGAACACCACAAATTTGATCTAAAACATGTTGTTGAAATATATGTTTAAAGACAAGTTGTTTGACTGGGCACTTTCTTGGACATATTGCTATTGATTATCAATTATTAGTTGTTTGAAAAGAAAACCTCCAGGGTGCCTACTGCTCTGATGTACTAAATCACAAAAAGACAAACATCCTATAGTGTAATAAGCTCTGGGTGGTACAAGTAAATGAAGAAAAAAGCTAAAACAAATTCAGTCATAAACCTTCCTGCAGTTAGAAACAACTCTTCCTTTCACCACTCTCTCCCCCTCTCTCTCTCTCTCTCACCCTCTCTCTCTCTCTCTCTCATTCTGCCCAAACAGCAGTTGCTTTCAGCTATTCCTGCCAGAGGTAGATAAAAATGATGAGATTAACAACTCCTTGGAGGAAACATCAACTATCTAAATTCAATTGTTTTTTAGATTTCCCATTAAGATCCAAAACCATTATGATACTTTTGAGGTGGCCGGAATCTCTCTCTCTGTAGAGCCCGTTGGTCTGGGTCAATCTGGAGAGTAAGCTGTCAAACCAGGGGGTCAGGTGGAGGTTAGGGCACCATCATTTCAAATAGATTTCTCATTAAATTCCAGTTTTTCTGTTCTGTTACTTCATGCTAATAGCTTTAGGGCCAAGGTCATGTGATAAGAGCGCACTTGGGGTCCCACAAGTCGAACAACATTCAGATTACACTCTGTATTGCTGCAGAGCTTGAGGGATGATGACTAAAAGTACTGGAGAGTTTAGTTTCTGGTGCTTGTATACGTAGGTGTGTATTACTCTGTGGGGCCATTCAGAATAGGGGACTAACTAGTCCGAGGATCAAATATGGCCGACCCAAGGGGTATCTATTCAGTCCCTATTAGCGGATTAGACAGCAAGCTTTGTAGTAGGTCACCATATTTGACCCTCGGACTAGTAAGTCCCTGATTCTGAATGGGTCCTATGTCCAAAAAAAACTTTGAACCTCTGAAAGGCAGTTTGGATATGTTCAAGAGATAATGTGGCATTTATGGTGAATCTTTGTGCATTTTGTTCCTGTTGGGTCCAAAAGAATCACATGAGCTTACATACAGTTACATGAGGTAATTACATTACAAAACATGCCAAATTGAGAGAATGAGGTTGGTGCAAGAGCACCATCACCATGAATAAATTGAGGTCCTGCTGTATTATAAGTGATAGCTTGACTGAAGAACTGTTAAGCTATTGGGTTAACTGCATGCCCATAATCTGAATCTTAATTTTGTATTCTCCTTGGTGACCATGTCTCATCTATCAAGGGTCTCTCTCTAACCGAGATATAATGCTTTACTTGGGCCTAATTTTCAACTGAGGATTATTGGGGTGAAGAATACTTCTAGTTAAGTAAGAAAGAAAGAAGTTCAGTAAAACAAATGATACAGTAATTACCTAAAATTTTCAAATGCCTCACTTTCAGATATCTTACATGGTCAAGGTCCATCATTTTATGAGTTGAAGATGCTCACAAAAATGTACTTTGTGATACTAAAAAATCTAGCTTATGTTTTGAAACTTTTGAATCAACATTTTAAAAGTATACTGCTTACTAACAAACCATTTTTTGAGGAGGAGAGGGCATATTATATAATCCTTGTTGAATTTTTTTGTGTGATTACCATAGAGCTGGCAGTAAGGAATGGAACCTCACAAGCAGGAACATTTTGTATTCTCGTCACCTTTTAGATAAATGCAAGTCTAAAATATGTGTCTTAGCAACTGTTTTCCTCTATTTGTAATATGCATGAAGAAACAGTGAAAATCAAATGAAAATGAAATTAAAATGGCAAATTTGTGTTAACAATTCTTCCCAAACAAGATCAGGCCTTATAAAGGGATTAGGCATTTGCAAACCCCAACCTCAGATTTGTGAGCCCGAATGCCCAAATTAACGAAAGGACTCAAGGACAAATTAAGAACTTGAACATAAAAATACTAGCCACAACCACAATGCTTGGAACCATGTGTGAGGCCTGAAGATTGAGAATAGGCAAATTTTCTCTTTAATATGTACTGAGGGGGTATACGTAGGAATTAGAAACAATATATGGGTGTCTGTTTTTCTAAATATGCTATTTTGCAAAAAATAATAATCATATTTGACTTGTTTTGATGCAGAAAATGGAAATAGATTGTTTCTATACTTATTTCTCTCTACTTCCTGTTTACTTTTTCTATAAATAAACTGCTGATTGAAAAATATATCAATTCTCAGCTGCCACTGCCATAAATGTAATGAGTGGGTTGATATTGCCATGAGAGCCAGCTATAATTGTGCCAAGGAACATTTGAGTTTGTTACAGACTGCAGATTGGTTTCAAGGATAAGCAAGTTGAAAATTTGGACATTTTTATTGATATATTTGAAACATATTGAATAGAAAAATAGTCCACCTGGAGGTATTAGTACCTGACATGTACCTTAGGACTGTGATCAAGTTATATCAAATGTGATGGAAAAAAAAAAGAAATTATGAAACTTAAAGTTAAACTATTTTAAGATCTAAAAAATGTCAAAAGTAGCTTAAAAGCAATGTCTGCAATAATATTTTTTATCCTCATTCTTCAGTTATTACCCAAACCCTTCAGCCATATTAATGCCTGTTGACATAGTCTATGTTTTGTAATCATCCATATTCAAAGTTTTATTTGTATAGAACCCCCTCACGTTTGTACATTTGAAGTACTTGCATCATTTTGTAATTTTGTTATCTACAGGAGGATGATAAATCCAGTGGCACATTAGTGTTGGTACCAAGCTGAACACTTCCAAATGACTACATATATCTTCCTTGTGGTGAAAAGTAGCATGCTATTATGTGTAATGAGACTTTGGTTGATTCTGATGCTAAACTTGGTTCCAAAAGCTGTTCATTAACCATCTCCACGCTGTGCTAGTGAAAGTACAATATTTCATCCAAGTTATCTTGTTGACAGAAGGCCTGTAGTTTAAAGGGGGGTTCTGAAAAAGTGGACCCTTTACCATAAAACATCTGTACAGGTATTGTTTGAGATAATGGCAATGAACCAGGTCAAATTTTGATTCATAACTTGCTTTTTCCCAGGCCAAAATGGTACCTTCAAATACCTCTCCCCCTCTCCCATAGCCCTGGACAGGGACATATCTTCCCAGGCCTGGGCAATGGTACCAATATAGAATATTCTGCCAAACTTGCATTCACATATTGAAATGACCCCAGAATCAATTACAAGGGTCAGTATACATCAAAATACAGAGATAAATCTCAATAGATCCTATTTCTCTTATTTCTCATATATATATATATATATATATATATATATATATATATATATATATATATATATATATATATATATATATATATATATATATATATATATATATATACGTCTATCTACCTTATAACCAGTATGTGTGTCCAAATGCCACTGCCAATGATTTCAGACTTGAGGATCAAAGGACATCTTGGTAGAATGCATGTTCTATGCACTTCCAGTTGTGAAAGAGGATCTGATCATGCATCTATCACTTCTTGATAATATCCAATATCTGAAGTTTAGGGGATAAAAGTCCAAATGACTTATTTTATGGAAGTCCATCAACCACTATTATTGCACCTATCAATATGTTTCTTAAGTTTGATGATTTAATTGAACTAGTGCCACTTAATCCATTTTGTTCCCTTGAGAATGGTCCTGCACTAAGCTGCTACAAGTGCCCAGGCAACAAGTACTGTTCGCAGTTGGCAGCATACAAACTAGCCAGACCAATTAATTATCCTATCCCCTATTGACCCATACAGGTCTTCAGTCAGAACACTGGTTAGATATGCTGGCAAGCAAATTTATTCTCTTGAGCTAATTTCTTCAAGTGGTGTGGTCATTTCATTGCAATTGCCTGGACTCCTACCATTGGTTGGTTTAATTTGTCGAGTCTGTGTGACCATCTCCATAAAATTTTGTATTAATGTGAACTGATTTATGTGGTTTATAAAAGAGGTTTAGCCAACACCATGTTATTTTGCTTGGATTTTTTTGATTGGACACTTCTCTGCAAAATTTTATCAGGATTAACCTTGGTATTTCTTTAAAGATTTTTTAGTGAAAGCTAGCAGTAGTTTTACCAAGTTTGTTATATACTACTAACTGATTACAATATTTATCCTAAAAATCTTTTATCATTGCATTTTTTGTTTATTCACAGTTGTTCTTTTAACTTCAGGACCCGTTGCTGTACAGAACGGAAACCCCAAACATCCCTGTGGTTCATCCTGATGGGAATTTCCAAATCCTCACAGAATCTCCTGCTCCCAGACAAGATTTGACAGTCCCTTTCATTCTGATCATAGTACTGCCATGTGTGATTGGCATCCTGCTGTGCCTGGTTCTGAGTTATATCATGTTTGGAAGAAGACAGGGAGTGTAAGTATCCACCAGCCAACCCCACCCCCTCCCCTCAGCTTGCACCTCCATTAAAAACATAGAAACAAAGCAAAGAAACATAATATGGAGGTTTTGCAAATGTTGAAAAATTAAGCAATGGTATTGCAAACTATGTTATTGCTTAATTCCCCGCTTTTGCATTGTTTTATACCTTTTAGATCAAAAATGAAATCAAATATCAAATATGAATTTTGTTCATGTGAATTTAACACACCTTTGGAACTTATTTTACTGTTTTGGGGTAATGAAGATATTTTTTGTTTTTTCAATTGCCTTCATGAAGCTCATTTTTTCACCAATGTCAACACTTACCATCCATCTTCAGAAATAACACATTTGTGACTTCTAATGATTTCATGCTGTATTATGTGTGTGAAAATGCTCTACAAAGTAGGTTTTTTGTACTTTTGTTGTTTGCGAAACCTCCCCAGCTGTTATCAGAAGGGTGATAATTCCTCTATTTCTCAGCATGAAAGATGTCATCAACATTACATGACAGAGTGATCATAGGTCATATTTCATTAAAAGCTTTTGCAAATTTTAGTTAATAGTATCAGTTTTAATCCTGTCACCTTGACAATTAGTTTCCATGGACAACAATGAGAGCAGTTGGTATAACCATGATTTAGGTACATGCTTAGATTCCTTACATGTATTTGCTTACAGTACTATGGGCTAGCCAAAAACATGGAATCCAAAGATAATACAAACATTTTTAATGGATGTTAAATACGTAGGCCACAAAATTTGAGAGAACAGTTTTCATATTGTGTGACCAGACCGCCCTTGCATGAACACGTTCAACTTCCTCACACCTACAATTGAACACGATATTAAGAAATCGGATTAATCATGCACAAAGGTAATGGTTAACTTTGACATTCCGAGCCGTCCATGCAGACGGCAGACATTTCCTGGAAACTACTAATTAGTATACATTCACACCACCAGTCCACTTTGATGTCAGTGTTGGCTAATTTATAAAGAGCGTCATCATCTTCTCATCTTGTTAAGACCGACAGGGTATAACACACAAATAACACGATTTCATTTATTTTCAGCAGGAAGAGAAATGCAGGGACAACAGAGTAAGTGATCTCTGCAGGATATTAGTTGTCATCACAGAGGCAGACTAGTGCCTATATTTACATTCGAAATGACAAGTGGGGCATAAAACTGTGGATGTTGAGGAATTCAGCTGCCACGATTTATCTGATGGGGACATTTATAGATATAAATATTGAGGCTATTTTTTCAAATAATAACTTCAGGAATGATGAATTGTTTCAGTGTAGAGGAATACCTTGTATGCCATATTAGGTCTATTTAGACATGACTAATTCCATAGAACCAAGTTTTTTTAATAATTCTTAAACCTACCAGCAAATGGCCAAACAATTTGCTGTTGGTTTAATGGTCAGAGACTGCCCTTTGCACAACAGTTAAGAGTTGAAAGGACAGAGGGGAGTTGGGCAAAGACATTCTGAATTTTTTTTCTTAAGCATTGGACCATGATACATGGTTCAAACTTTGACTTCATCTTATCTTGTATCAGTCCACACACCAGGAGGTATCAAGGGAGTAGAGTGTACATATAGCAGTTATTAACCAGATTATCCCCACATATTCTTTGTGATATACACTCTGATCGACTGTCTGATGATTATTTAAATGTAAAATTTAACAAAAAGTTATTTCTGAACAACCACCAAGTAAAAGCCAGATATCTCAATCATAATCTTCTGCAGCAATTTCAGTGATTATTGTCTTCATTTCTAGTCATCAACTTCAGCAGTTTGTGTCCATTAAGAAGGCCACCAGCAACCTGCGCCAGATGTCACACAAGAGGCAGGAGTCCATGCCGGGCACTCCGGTGTCTTCGTCACATTTCCGTCCACAGGGACAGTCCACTCCTGTGGGTAACACGCCTGGATATACTCCGCCATCACTCAGGTAAACTGCAAAAACTTCGCACCACTTGTTTTTCTTTTCTGGTGGAGGTGCGAGTGTTTTGAATGAATGAATTATTTTTAAGACTTGAGATCACATTAAATGCGCAGACCTCTTCAACGGAAAAGGGCAATGAAAGTCCTTTTGAAAAATGTTATGATTTTCAAACTCATGACAGTTGAAATTGTAAATTCAACTTTCCCTTTGAAATAGCTGTCTATCCTGTAAATTTCATCAAAGTTTGTGAAGAACTATTTGAGATCTCCACAGACAATCCAACCAAATCCAATGAAAATATGACCTCCTTTATTAGCAGAGGTAAAAAAAGAACTTTTTCATGATTTATTTTAAATGTTTATATACTCACCTGTATGATTTTTCACTATAGTAGCTGTATAGATTATTTACTTATGTGCATAACATAACCATAACAACATCTGCAATTGACTGGTTTTCATTTGATTGATTTTTCCTTTGAATAAATTGCTGTATAGAGACAGTTTTGTAATGCACAAGATAATGTCGGCATTTTGTTTTGGTTCACGGCATTCAGTGAGGTTATGATTAAGATTAATGTTTATTTCATATGTAAATACCCGGCCAAGATTATACAGACTAGCAACAGTCCGGAAAGGCGAGATCATCTTATGATGATTTATTTTTAAAGCTCTTATGATTTATTTAACAACAGCATTGTGGCATCATCATTAAGCACTTTGTCATGCATTTGAAGTCAGACACCAATATGATTTATCAATATACACTTATCCTATTTGGTAATCCATTAGTATCTTTCAGCCACAACATTCTGTTGTAAATTCTGAGGAAGATAAAATAATAATAATAAATTGTCAATGCAGTTATAATTAACTGTAAAATGTGGTTTACGGGTTCTTGCAGGTCAGGACACGAAGGCTCTACTGTGGCGCCCCCGCCTTACAGATTACCTCCTGTCTACCCTCCCCATGATGCTTCACTCAGGTAAGACATGTAATACGTCATACTCTATGATATTTCTCCTTTGCTGATGTAAGAAACATGTTGTAATAGAGTGTTTCACGTAGGTAAGGTTAAGGATAAGAGCTTGATGCCTTGCTCATGGTCACAATACATTAAGTGCCTTGATGCCCAGAACATCACTAAAGCGAGATATTTAAAAAACTCATAATTGAAGTCTGATGTTTCACGCATGATGTGATGTTCAGCTCTGATGAGTTATGAATAAGCAAAAAGTAGATGATGTTACACTTGGCTGAGGTGGGAGTGATAGATTGGCTTTTCAATGCAGTTAGATGATTAGATAATAGCAAATAAGGCAATATGTGTCATGTGTAACTTAAAGGTCACTTGTGTAATATTTTATATTGCTCACTGCTATATAAGGTGTTTTACATATCTGAAAAAAAATATACTTCTTTATGTAATGGTAAAAAAGAGGATTTGTTCAACATGCAATTGCCCCGTTGAACAGTTTGCTTCTTGGAGGATTTGTGGCAGAGGGGCGTCATAGTTTAGTGGTCAGTTTTCCAATGAATACAATTATTCCAGGTTATTTTGGATGATTCCAGTGCAGGTTATTATAAAAGCTGGCTGGTGATTATTAGTGTTCTACAATTGTTATTTGTAGTCGTTGGCAATTTACTAGAGCCCAGGGGACATTCTTTTGTATTATGATTTCTTAAGGAAATAGGTTATTGACATTTGGTGAATTCAATAAGCAATCCAAATTTTTGCAATTGTGTACATTTTTTGTCCCTTTGGAATAATTTACGTACTAAACTATTTTTGTAAACATATCTGAATGTTAACAGAGAGATTCTATTTTGAGATGTGTCCTATGTCCTTATCAAAGATTTTTTACCCCATTATCATCTGTTTTTTAACTTACCATTGTCATAGTAAATTTACATTGACAATGATAAGACATTTAGAGGGTGGGGATGAGGTCTGGGTTGCTGAGAGTCGTGTACTTGTAACCTCATTGTTGTTGATTGATGTTTGTGACATTGGAATTCATCCATATTTCATGTATATATCCAAAAATGATCCATTTGATGCATTTTTTGCTTTTGGCATTTAGATAGTTCATTTATTTGTCACTTGAATTTTTTATGAACTCTGTTTCCTTTATTGTACTTTTTTATTTTTAGTCTGATTTAAAGAAATTCCTTGCACAACTTGTGATGTCCTACATAGCCAGTTCTTTCTTTATATTAATGTTATGCCTGTACAATTATACATTGTAATCAATTGTTTTCATGTCATTGTAGCCCCAGTCCAGTGACACCTACTGGTGGTGAACGTACTGGTGACCAGGAACAACTGGTGTCTTCATAAACCATCTGTGTCACCAGGTCCCCAAAAGGCTTTGCCAAATGACACGAGATGGGAGAGAGGAAGCTTGTACCGAAGACAACAAATGACAGATGTGACCTAAGACTTTTGTTATTGCATCATGCATGATGATTATATTCAGAAGTATTGACTTGCATGTCTGAGAACTAGCCTGATTGAGATTCAGATTCTGGCAGTTGCTCTTTTGAATTGACAGGGAACCAATCTGCTTTCAACATCTGACCTTTACCTTCTTTTCATTTAGTTTTTATTTCAGCTATTACAAACCATTTCCACTCTCTGGATTTCAGACTTTGGGTATTAGGGGCCTGAGGCATCAGGGCTTTACTGATTTAGTGCTGGAGCTTATAAATTGAACCTCCTTCAACAACAGTGAAATGTAAATGAGAATATTTTGCACATAGTAAATGTTGCCCTTTCTTAAACACTAAAATGCTCTGGTATTGAATGCATTACTTCAGTGCATTATCTGCTATCTAACATGTACAATGTACATAGGGCAAGCTAAGAAAAATATAATAAACTATAACTAAAGGGTGCCCATTATTTATCATCTTCTAATAGAAATTGTGCTTACACAATTATGCATCAAACAAGGATAGCAAATAGTTGATAGACAAACCCATAGAGAGGTAAAGTAATGCAAATTGATGGATGTTTACATTGAACTCTTTCATAGTATTGATGTAAAACGTTTAGAAGAAATGGTGACACTGTAAGAAAGAAGAAAACACTGCTCTCTGTACATAAATGCCAAGTTTTAACTTATTCTCATATTTTAATTGATATTTAATGTTAAATTGGTCTTCTTATTAAACAGTACATGAAAATGCATGTATTTTAGGTGTAATGTATTGGGATTATGTTATCTTCAATATTGTTACAGAGGTGACATTTTGTAGCAATTGCGTTGTGATAGAGGCGACATCTTGTAGCAATTGTTTTTACTTCTCTAGAACAATTAGTTTTCAAGGAAAGGAATGAGTAACCATATGTTATTTATGGATGTTAAGTCATTTTAGACCATGCATCTTTGCCAAACTTTTTTGTCACTTTGAACTATTTTCCAGTTTTTTGAAAGATTTACTTTTCTGTTAGTTATTTACCAAAATGCTCATCCTAGAGTCTTTTCCTATGAATTTGTGTTCTTACACTCCAAAACATCAGTCTGATGGTTATTTCTTCAAAATCTTTATCATTTAATAACAAAAAAATCATAAGAATGAACTATAACTGCCATGTTGCAGTTAATCGGTGTCACAGCATTTTACATGTGTTAATGAATATAATAAACAGTTACCTCAACCAAGGAGGCCATGTTTTGACTTGATCTATTAGTTAACAGACTAACTGAATATGTTATGGACAGGTTTTGACCAAATTTTCAATTTAATTTTTACCATTACATGAGTGTTATTAAGGTCCCACTGTTTATTAAGTATTCAGACTATCTAGTGTTTCCCTCATGTTACTCCTATGTACATGTGTATTGTCTGCCCAGTCTGCTCCAGCCATCCTGAATGTAGAACTGAAGCTGAAAGGGAAAAGTGGAATTGAATAAGTTAATGTAGTATTTATTAAATTGTTAACCTGAGCTTCATGAGCGTATCTTCTTTTTGGAAGTAAAATGTTCTCCGCTACAAAAAAAAGTATGAGGAAATTTTAATTATTTTCCTTTATCATCAAACTGTTGACAAAATAATCCTCTGCCCGCGTTTTTTTTTTTTTTTTTTTTTTTTTTTTAGTATGGAGTTGTTATTGTTCACTTTAATTCGATCTTGTCTTCATTACTAGAATGCATTTAAACTTTTGCACTTATGTATTTCAAAACGATATTTATATTTTTTAATGAGATAGCATTTGAAATCTGTATATGTACACGGCACCTTTCTTTACGTTAAATTTAACAATGTTAGGTGACAAAACATATGTATCTTGGATTGTTTGTATACGTTTTATGTCATAATGCCTTAATTCTCGTTTTGTGGTTAAATGTATAAATAAATATTCGGCTCAACAAAGAGTAAATCTAATGGGGTTTTATTCCTGAATAATGAACATGCATGAATTGTTTAGATTATCAGTAAAATAGCTGAAATCTGAACTATTAAACAATGTACTTGATGCTTCATGTTCGTCAGCCGTTGAGATTTAACACTCGACTGCTCTTGACAGTAATTGTCACATATCACTGGGTGTTTTAATCGTAAAAGGAGATGTTCTAAGTTGATTACTTTAATTTTATCGATCTGTTTTTATTGTAACCGGCATCCGATAGAAACATTGGAAATACTGGTATTATTGGATTTGGACGTGTATCTTGACTGATACATGTAGGATGTCATTCTCTGCGTTCAAAATATTTTGTTACAACCTTGATTTATCAATTAAATGGAAACATTTGCATTGAATTTCATTTAAAAAAGAGACAGAAAAGTCAATAACGACGTTCTATGGCACGACGTAACGTCACGTCTCAAATACGTCACATCTACTGTGACGTTAACCCGCACGGTGACATACAGTCTTAACGACAGGTCATCTTGAGAAGCACGTCTCTTTTGACCAAACCTGTAATCCTACTCAAAATGGCTACTGGACTTAAAGATGAGAAAGTGAATGGACAGAATTCAGATGAATCAAGTCTTGGACTTCGTACAGAAGAAAGAGCAAAATCTAGAGCAGGCCATCTGGCCTTATGGATAGATGCAGAAAGTGGACACTCCGGCTCTTCTTCCAGGCCGATAACACCACTTGATTGCGCGGCAGTTCCTTTGCATCTTTCACGTAGATTGCCTACGACAGCTACAGATAGAGACCCAGCAGTTTATTCTATCTTGTTGGAAGAAAGGCTAAGGACAGCGGAAAAACTGAGAAGGGAGCAACTTAAGGCGAAGACACCATCCACTGGAGCAAGATTAGAAAAAGTAAGTCACGTGGGCGAGTTAGCAAGTATTTTCGTTTGGCTTTAATTTTCAACTTTCAATGGAAATACATCTGTATATCAGACTGATGTCAATGAATATTTTCGAAATTTCGGTGTTTGGGGATTTATGCAAGTCATAAAGACCAGAAAGGAATGGCGCGTAAATACCGACATCATCTTGAGTTTTGTTTTCTTAATAACATTTTAAGGCTACACAGAAGAAATTGGAAGAAGATATAATAGACCAAGAAAGGAAAAGACAAATAGTTGAGGCCAAGTTGGAGAAGATGAGAAGAAGACCGGAAGAAATTAGAAAGAAAAAAGAACAGATGGAACTTGAAAAGAAGAAAGCTCGGGAGGCAATGGAAAAGGCAATAAAGGTCAAGAACTTTCATCGTTTTCATTTTTCTTTTATGTATGTATTCCTTAGATAAATTAAACAATCTGTGAAGCGTTTAAAGAAAACTTTTGAAAAATGGCATTTTTCTTTTGCATATCTAAACCATCATTTGAAGAGTCACTTTATTTGCCTGTAACAATATAATATGATATGCCGCAATCACCTTCATATATCAATCATATTGCAAACATCAGGCTGTGGACATGGACAAAGTGCAGGATGAATCCAAATTGCAAGAAGAGAGACTCAGATTCGAGGAGGAGTGCCTTAGGAACTGTGAAAATAACCAAAAGGTATATTTTATTTTATTTTTAGACAAAATACTTCTTAGAAAAAGGGAGCGAAACTTCTATAACTGTCATTATCTGCGTCTTTTGTAAAAGCCTTCTTTTTATAGAAGTTTTCTCATTTCACACACATTTTAATCTGTTCCAGAAATACCCCATTCAGCGCGATGTGTTTGAAGAAACCAAGGCCCCCTCTCGATTCAGACGATGGTGGAATTCCGTTGTTGATGCCATCAGATCATTATCTTGCTTTGGTGGACGCCGACGCAACAGAGTTCACCCTATGAAGTAAATGGCCCTGGCGATGGAGGACCGGAGAGCGCACGATAGAACTGATTTATCGCTATTAAAATTTAGTGGAGTGTACTAAACATTTTGTCAGAGAGACAAAGACGACGAAAAACGGTACAAAAAAGAGGAAATGACATATTTATCACCGATTCAAAGTGCCGGTTAATGTTATTATTATTTTTCTTTATTCGTAAAGAACGTTGGTATTCTTTTAATCAGTGATAGCGATGTTATATAGTTCTTGCAAGTGAGCAGTGGACTATTTCACCGGCGGATCCAAAGAGAAGAACCGCAAGGTTGCGGTCCCCCCTCCCCTTCTTTGATTTCTTTTCACCTTTTATAATCTATATTACAATGATACAAGCCGGGCAAAGCGAGGAAACCCTTACTCCCCCGTACTCCCTCCCTTGACCACCGCCGTAAGGGCCGTTCAACCCCTCAAAAAATAATAGATCCTCTGATGTGCGTGTCACCCCTCACCGCTCCTCTGCCTCCCCCCCATGTACATGTAGTAGCAGTGCCACTAAAAGTTTTTATAGTCTTTTTTATTATGGAGGGGATTTTTCTTGTATATACGTTAGTATTAACTAATTTAAGCAAAATGAATCAAGATAATTACTTGTATTAAACTGTCCGGTTAAAATGTGTAAATAAAGCATATGATTTGGCAAAGAGTAAATTTAATGGCGTTTTATTTTCCAATAATAGACCAGTTGGGAATCAACCGTTTTAAGTCGGAAAATTGCTGGGGATGACAATTGTATTTGTATAAGAAGTAAAAGAAAAATATAACAAAAGATGCTCTCGTTTATTAATATTTTTTAGCAATGGTGGGTTTACAAATAAATACATACATGTACACATATACATAATGCGAAAGCACTAAAATGTCTCCATTAGCTGAACTACTACTTTTTTCAATATAAAGAGGAAAGTAGAATAGTAGCACATAGGCATCAAAGGTATAGGTGTTAAACAACGAATGAGTTACTGCGTGATTATAGTATGCAGAAAACAGAATACCTAGCAGGTAAATAAAAACGATATTATTATTAGCCAGTATTGTGTCTTATCGCCAGAAAAAAATCGAATTGCGTGTTTTCCTCAAAACTGTCTGGATTTCGCCGAATGAAACCTCTCAGTAAATTTCAAGCTATAGAGTGAACAAATACAGCACCAATGATATGTACACCTGTGAAAATAATCAAAAGGTAAATTGCGTTTTATCTTTATGCAAAATAGTTTTAAGAAAGGGAAAGAGAGACAGGTTGTGTTATCAGTGTTGCGTCTTTTGGCATATTGCGTCTTTTGTACTGACAAAAGACATTTATTATACGCACAAATATGAGCGCATGTGAAGGCGTCACGTGGTCATCGGATTTGTTAAACAGTTTCAGTAACAACGTCTCAACTAACACTCAAATGAGCCATACCTGTTGCTATTTGCATAACAATAAGTTGCTATCGTAGTGTGAGCTGTCTTCCCTAATGCTCACTTGGCAGTTGGACAGAGTCGGGTGTGGACGTATGTTCAGTATGGTGCAGTCTCAAGGTCGAGTTTTTAAGAGACGTAGAAGCAAATACATGTTTTGTAAGTAGCACTGTTTCTTCATAATCCACCACTTAAGGCGCAGAATATTTACGACAAATTTTTATAACATGAATCCTTGTACTGCTGTTTCCATTGTTACTTGTGTGTCACTCATAATGGTAGAATTTATTGGTTACAATGCACTGGGACTTCATATGTACAGGATGAACGGCGCTCTCACCTGGCAATTGATGATAACCTTACTGAAGTCTTTATAGAAAGTTATAAATATTATTTTTCTTTTCAGAAGCCCAAAGAGATTCAGCACAACATGCGCCTGAAAAAAAAAACGGTGCCTAGCCTTTGTTTCATACTAGGAACCCCACGCTTATCCGTGCACCACAAAGGTCGATCTTTTATGAGGCATAGAAGCCAATGCATGTTTGTGAGTATTACTATTTCTTCAATATCATTGCCATTTTATAATAAAGGCGCAAACGAACGAAAATATATTTACGACAAACATTTATAACATTGATATTGTTGCTTGTATGTCATGGTAGAAATGACTGCTTAATCATTTTACACAACCTGTCGTCTTTAGTGTGACGTATGTTGTCCATCCATTAAACGATTCACTGTATTAAATTTATTTGTACAATCATATTGTGTGCAATATGTTTGCTATTTTCTTAGAAGACAATTTGTTAAAAGAGATCGTTTTCGCTTCTCAGAAATGCGCCAATATGTACTACAATAAGTAAGTACACTCTCCTCTGTGATATTACATGCGTTATTTGTATGTTTTAAAAAAGCTAGTTTGTTTAGTCTTAAGTTATAAACATCATATTCTCTTTTCAGAAACTCAACGAGATTCAGCACAACATGCGCCTGCCAGTAACCTACGGTGCCTAGCCTTTGTTTTATACCAGGAATCCCACGCTCATTCGTGCATCTATTATATGAATACTGAATAAATATTTTTGTAATTAATAATAAATATTTTTATTCATTTTGTTATATAATATTATTATGATAAAGATAATAGTAATGATAAAGTGAATGAGATATTTTAATTCGTGTTTTAGGACTTTTAAATTCAATTTGCTTAATCTGCTCTGTAAATGTCTTAATATTTGTGATTGGCGGTTTTCTGGGGTACCTAAAAATATCTAAAATTGAAATAGTTGTAAATGTTGTATTGCCCAAAATTTATAAATAAAAGACATTAATACTGTAACGAACACTGCACATAAAAAAATTATTTTCAAAAAGTTTCATAACTGATTTGCCTGACTTTTTATCTTTATATAGTACTATATATTTTACTTAATACTTTAACTGGCTATTTATTTATAACTTTAATCATCTTATTCTGTTTATTTTACCCCTGAAAAGTCTATTGAACATTTTTGCATGTAGAATAGACAATAAATAAATAAATAATTATATAATCATTGTCGTTAGCTTGAATAATTGGATAGTCCATTTCATTGAAGGGATAAAAGTAAAGGCGAGTCAATTTCTTTGGACGGGTGCCAGGTGGGGCGAGTCCATTCAAGTGAAGGGGTGTCAGGTGGAGTGAGTACATTTTATTGGAGGGGTGTCAGGTGGGGCGAGTCCATTCCACTGGAGGGGTGTCAGGTGGGGCGAGTCCATTCCAGTGGAGGGGTGTCAGGTGGGGCGAGTCCATTCCACTGGAGGGATGTCAGGTGGGGTGAGTCCATTCCATCTGAGGGGGTGTAAGGTTGAGTGGAGTGTCATGTTCAACCGAGTCAATTCTATTTGAATTTACCTATTCCATTATTCAATTTTTAAAAATTATTTACATCACAATAATTTAATTTGAGAATGGTCACAAAAATACACAAATCAGGAATATAATTCAAATATTTTTTTATTATTATTACAATTTTTACTCCAATAAAAGGAAGTGATAAAATGGGTTCCATATATAAATTTCGGAAAAATAACCATTGCCATTAAAAACGTTGTTTGAGGTTACATTTGTATCTTTCCACTTTTCCAATTTCAATTTCAAAATTGAAGTTTTCATATGTTGAATGGGTTAGCATATAAATCGATTTATAGAACCCAAATCCGTCAAAAATGCACCAGTCTTGCATTTACAAACATAGGAAAATTATATGAAGGAAGACTTTGAATGAATGAATGCAGAAAAAATTAATGTGTTCCCTTCTGCTATAGAAATAAAAATTGATTTAAAAAAAGGCGGAATTGTAATTTTTTTACAAATTTTATCTATTTATGTGGGCTGGTGAAAACTGTTTTAGATATTTTCTTTTAGTATGTTAAAACCGGAAAAATGCTAAAATTCCATAATTTACAAAATACTGGGTATATTTGTTATTACGTTTACAGCTATTTCAATTTTCTATATCTTTAGGTACCATATAAAAGTGTCAATCACAAAACTTTTGACATTATTTACAGAGCGGATTTAGCAGATTGAAAGTCCTCATTCCACTTTATCATAACTACTATCTTTAGCATCATAATTTCATAACAAAATTTTTAAAAAAACATGGAAAAACGACAAATTACAAAAGTATTTATTCAGTTTTCATATAGTAGATGCACAAATGAGCGTGGGATTCCTGGTATGAAACAAAGGCTAGGCACCGTAGGTTGCTTGCAAGCGCAGAATTTGTGCAGAATCTCGTCGAGCTTCTGAAAAGAGAAAATCATATTCATAACTTTAGACTGATGAACGGACAGACTTTTAAGATACTAATAATGCATGTAATATCACAGAGGAGACGGTGCATCTAATATTGAAATAGAGTGTGTGTAAATTAAGTTTTAATACAGTGAACCGTGTTATGGACAACATACGGCACATTGGAGACGGCAGGCTGTGTAAAATATGTGTAAGGTTTCAGCAATGCTATAAACATTTTATATAAAAGCTTAAACATAAAAATTTACAAATACTGATTTTTAAGTAATAATCGATAAAAGGAAATTAACCCTATCAGAGACAAAATTAACCATAAGACCATTTAATTACGTCAAAAAATATTCGTAATCAACTGTGGAGGGACATATCGATATATAAAAAAGAGCCTTAAAAAGTGAAGAGCTAAAAGATTTCAGTTAGGTTATCATCAAATGCCAGGTGAAAGTGCCGTTCATCCCGAGCATGTGGAGTCCCAGTGCATTGTTAACAAATTTATTATTCTGAGTGACACACAGGAAGCAATGCGAACAGCAGTACAACTAAGATCTAATATATCACATACCGTTTATTAGATCTTAGAGTACAAGGACTCGTGTTATGAATATTTGTCGTAAATATTCTTTCATTCCTTATTGAAGAAACGGTGATACTCACAAACATGTATTTGCTTCTACTCCTAATAAAAGCTCGACCTTGTGACTGCACCACACATACTGTAGCGTCTACACCCGACCGCGTCCAACTGCCAAGTGAGTATTCGGGAAGACAGGTCACACTACCATGAGCAACTTATTGTTATGCAAATCACAACAGCTATAGCTCATGTGAGTTGAGAAGTTGTTACTCTAACTGTTCGCTAATGTTCAGTAAATCGGATGGTGACGCTTCACAAATCGATATGAAGCAAATAAATAACGTTACCACGGGGCTATATATTGCTTAAAGAATCAGCAAACGTTAAGAGAACGTTATTCTACTTTTTAAGCTGTCACTGTTATTTTCATTGTTCTGTGAAACGTTGCCAGCAGCTTATTTCAAAATGGGGTTCGGGTTGGACGGCGACTAGAGCTATGCAGTTTTTTTTTTACTTTTAGGAATGGCTAAATAGATATCAATACTGTTACCAACACAACCAAATTTATTAAAAAGGCGTTTTAAAATAATATTGTTAGTTGTTTGGTGTTTATGACGAACCAGTGACTTGCTCGCAAGGTTAGCTAACACAGAAGTGAATAAGTCCAGCTGTAGAATCGAGCGAATGGAGGTCCGTTGAATAGTACTTCACGGTCGCCTGATCTTACAGATGTATCCACATGAGGTACATGTACACACACACACTTAATTGTCATGTAGGGACATTTTTATATGTCAAATGTTTACAATATATTTATTTTATATAATAAATCTAAATTTAATTTATAACATCTGCCAGTAGACCTTTATTTTAAATGTTTTCTTTTTAATTAAATGAACAAAATGGCAGACAGTTGGCAACTTAATGAATTGATAAGGGATTAAACTGTTGGGTTCAGGGGACCCAAACTATGTCAGATCATCCCTCTTGCACGGTGACTTTAGTTTGTCAAGAAATGGCTGTCTACCACCTAATTACCTAGCTGAACGAAACTTAACAGGCTTCATTAGCACCTTCTACACACAGGACCTATGCGAAAGTTAATGTCGTTTTGCAAGAATGTGGAGAATTGACAAGTATCACTACATTTCCAAATAATCTGTCTGTAACAGAGATGCATATATTTCAAGGAAGATATTCATTAATCTATGTATTTTTAATGATCACCAAGCCACCGAAATGCGTGGCTATCATTGGATTTGAATGTGTTTTTGGCTGTTACTGTCTTCTAAGTTATACCAAGGAGATGTATCACATAACTTCAAGGTTTTACAAGGTTTAAAAGAGTCCAATCTAGTCAAAGGTAGGCAATCCATTTAACTCAATAGTATCAAACTGGAATATGGCAAGATGCCCCTTCAAAAACTTTTGCTGATCACAGGCTCTTCTCTGTAGGAGAATGATTTTATTTTGTAACAATAAAGATTCAATTTGGAGAACGAATTTTCTATGAAAACGATACCTTTTGAATTTCATTTCAATTGAATCGAAGAATTTGAATCGAATCTGACAAAACGATGAGCGAAACCATATTCCATAATAGACAGAAAAGACGTTCTATGGCACGACGTAACGTCGCACCTCAAATACGTCACACCTACTGTGACGTGAACCCGCACGGTAACATACAGTCTTGACGACAGTTCTTTTTGAGCAGCACGTCTCTTTTGACCAAACCTGTAATCCTACTGAAAATGGCTACTGGACTTAAAGATGAGAAAGCGAATGGACAGAATTTAGATAAACCAGATCTTGGAATTGGTGCAGATGACCAAAGACCAAAATCTAGAGCAGGGCATCTGGCCTTATGGATAGACGGAGAAAGTGGACGCTCCAGCTCTGCTTCCAGGCCGATAACACCACTCGATAATGCGACAGTTCCTTTGCATCTTTCACGTAGATTTTCTACAACAGCTACAGATAGAGACCCAGCAGTTTATTCTATCTTGTTGGAAGAAAGGCTCAGGACAGCGGAAAAATTGAGAAGGGAGCAACTTAAGGCGAAAACACCATCCACCGGAGCAAGATTAGAAAAAGTAAGTGACACATAGTGAGTAAGTATTTTTGTTTGTATTTAATATTCCTTTTTTTCATATTTGCATATCAGATTCCTGTTCCAATATCTTTCTTATTGAAATTGATGAGATAAACTAATGTCAATAAATATGTTTGAAACTTTTGTGTGTTTGGGGATATATGCAAGTCATATAGACCAGAAAGGGATGGCGTGTAAATGCCGATATCATCTTGAGTGTTTTTTAATAACTTTAATTTCTTAATAAAATTTATCTTAAGGCTACACAGAAGAAATTGGAAGAAGATATAATAGGTCAAGAGAAGAAAAGACAGTTAGTTGAGGCAAAGTTGGAGAGGATGAAAAGAAGACCGGAAGAAATTAAAAAGAAGAAAGAACAGATGGAACTTGAGAAGAAAAAAGCTCGGGAGGCAATGGAAAAGGCTATAAAGGTTAGGAATTTTCATCATTTTCTCTTTTCATTAATGCATCTATTTTTCAGATAGAATTAAACAAACTGTAAAGTATTTTAAAGAAAACTCTTGAAAAAATGGAATTTATATTTTGCATATGTTAAACTAACGTTTATGGAGTCATGTTATTTGCTTGTCACAGTATTATATGATATGCTGCAATCACCTTTATAATCATATTGTAAACAACAGGCCTTAGACATGGACAAAGTGCAAGACGAATCCAAATTGCGAGAAGAGAAGCTGAGATTTGAGGCGGAGTGCCTTAGGAACTGTGAAAATAACCAAAAGGTATATTTTGTTTTATCATTATACAAAATACTTTTATAAAAGCCTTCTTTTTATAGAAAAGTTTTCACATTGAAATTGGTATAAAACATACATTTTAATATTTTCTAGAAATATCCCATTCAGCGCGATGTGTTTGAAGAAACCAAGCCCCCTTCTCGATTCAGACGATGGTGGAATTCCGTTGTTGATGCCATCAGATCATCATCTTGTTTCGGTGGACGCCGACGTAACAAAGTTCACCCTGTGGAGTAAATGGTGATTGAATGCCAGAGCTCGAGAGCGGACGGAAGAACTGATTTATCGCTATTAAATTTTAGTGGAGTGTATTTTTATAAACATTTTGTCGGAGAGACAAGGTCGATGAAAAGACCTCTGACTCAAAATGTCGGTTGGTGTTGTTTATTTTCCTTTATTTGTAAAGGACGTTGGCACTCACATAAAATAGCGATGTTATATAATTCTTTCACGTGGAGCAGTGGTCTGGAAATATAAGGAAAACTTACTCACCCTCATCCAACCACCACCGTTATGATGACCGGATTGGATCCGCTGATCAATGTGCGAGCCACTCATCACTCCGCCCCCCCTCTCCGCCCCCCGTCTATGTGTATGTACATGTAGCTGCTATTTCACTAAAAGCTTTTGTACTCTATCATGTGAATAAAAACAATTTTCTTCTAAATAAGTTATTCTCAATATTGTAAAAAAATGTATCTCATGTTATTTACTTGAATATTACTGTTTTGTTAAAATGTGTAAATAAAACATTTGACGTAAAAAAGTCAATCTGGTGATTTTTTTATTTCTTTCTTTCATTTATCTTTTTATTTTTAATGGACCTTCATACCAATATGTGTCTGATGGGTCCAAGTTTGTTTCCCCCCCCCCCCCCTCTCTCTCTTTCGAACAAAAAGACATAAAACTAGCATTATGTCTCCCCCTCACCCCTCTATTTATAAAATCCTGGGTTCGCCATGCTCGAGGTCCGCTGGTGATGGCAAATATTCTCGCTGGACACAGAGAAAAGTGTACTAAACTAGCCAGATACATAGCTGTGAATATGACAGAAAATCAACATGTGACCCAAATACGTGTAGAGGGTAGGTCCGACAGAGGATATTGTTTCAAGTGACTTCTTTCTACCGCTGTCACCTGACATTTGGGAAAATCCCGTCTCTCTCTACCCGGATGTAACTGTATACTGTACTGGGACCTCGCCACACATTGAGACCCTTATACCGGTAACAAAACATCCCCGGGTAATGTCACCTCTCGAGGATAGCCTTTCATAGAACCCTTTGTCCGGAAATTTCGGAATTTCCCATGGTAGGCTATTTCCACACCGGGTCTTGTGCCTTGGTATTTTGGAGGTTTTGACATTTTTAACCATTTTGTTTCATGTGTCTCACAAGTATAAGGTGTTTTGCGTTGATATCATTATTCCCCAGGGACTGGACCGTCTGTGTTGAACTTAGGTAGGCACCGTCTTACTGTAATGTTGACATGAAAGCTATTATTTGGGGGAGTAGAGAATAAGAGAATTGATAAAGACAACATGATTGTACGCGATATCTTTAAAATATTGAATTTTTAAACAATGCATATATGGCAATATGGCACTGTGCAATTATCAAAACAAATTTGTTGAAGGGACTAGTTTTTGTCTTGAATAATTTAAGATAATTATTCTATTTTATTTTAGTGTCATTTTAGTTTTTAAAACGTAAGGAAATATTGCTGTACCTTTAGCGCATTACATTACCCCCCACCCCCACCCCAAATAATCTTGCGTATCAGTTGACCCACAAGTAGATACCCGGATATATGCTTGTTCGTACTGTCTATTAATTATAAGTATCACAAGAAGGCGTATCATACAAGACGAACAGGGCTCTGAAGCGACAAGTTCAGGTTCCTGGAGAAAGGCCCCATTACATGAAGAAGGTCTGTTGATTTCATTTTAAGATCAATTTTGCAATGCTTAGCTGCCACATGAAAAAGTAACAACTGTTTATCCGCGTAACTTGGGCGTCTAGTAAACAATTTAAAAAACGAAAGTGGAAGTCGACAGGCGGAATACAGGGGATTTGAACCAAAGTATCTTGAGTGGTAGGTGAGTATGGTACAGGTGCTGAGTTACTGAATATTGAAATTTTAGTGTGCATCGGAAGCTTAAATGCCACTAAAATCGGGGCATTCAACAGCGCAACATCTACAGTGTAAGCCATACTTCATGGGTACATTTTGGACAAAGCAACCCCATTTAACGCCTTTGAAATAGCTCTTGACGTGGCTAAAGCTTTTTGAAACCCAAGATGCGAAGCACGGGCGTGATTCTTAAAACATTGCCCTTTGCTTCAGTAGCATTGATATCGGAACCACTGAGAGAATCTAGTCTTGATGGCGTTCCACAAATCAACCGTATCATGTCAGTTTTTGTTCTGGACATACATGTAATGCTACTTTTACTTGGACTAAGAAAGGCACCTTCCACTTCGAACGGTATACTTTTAAGTTATAACTGGACCGGCCAGCTTTAAGAGGCCCTTACCAAGGAGAAACTCCTTGCCCTTACATAACATTTTATTACACCACAGGAGATTTTATTCCCTTTCACAAGTTCTCGAAGATTGTGCTCCATGCTGTTAAATATGTTAATACATACTATAACCCTGCATAGTTGTAGAAGTCTTGTGTTGGATCCTAGATACCGGAACACATGTCTTTTAGCCTTGTCGTATGCGGGGGCTCTCTTACACAATAGCCAGAGTACATTAAAAGTTGTCAGTCTCTCAATGAGTACCGGTGTGACAGGAATGGTGCGCCAGCGCGCCTCTAGGAACCGTAGTCTGTTCCCCATTCATTTGTATAGGTGACATTCGTTTATATACTAACCCCAATTCCCCGACTAACCCTTACCTGACACCAGGGGCCCCTATAACAATATACAAAAATTTTGTAACAGACCACTAGCGCACTAGCGTAAGAGAGTATACTAATCATATGGGAACCCGAGTTAGGGCCCACAGAATTGGGAAATAATTTGTAATTAATATTTTCAAATTCTGCGGTCCATGACACCCGTACTTCCATTCCTGTCGCTTAAGTATATTGCTGAGCGTGAAAATGCCTTCGGTTTCTGTTTAATTCTGAAACCTATATATTTCAAAAAAGAGTACGTTCAAAGAGTATTAAAACATTATGATATGATGTTTGGTGGATAAATAAAAAATCAAAAGCAGCTAAGATTACCACCAAGTCCTTTTATGGTGTCATTGTGCAGTTGATATTTTTTTCTAGGAAACTGTGTTTTAAGAAGCATATCAAGCAATCAGGATGGGTAAGTCTTGAATTCATACAATTTTGTTTCATTATTATGTATCGGTGTACTGACCTATTTATTAAGTTTAATGTCAAATATGTGATTTTATCAAAGAATAAACAGACCTGACTTTAGATTTACTTTCTCTCTATTATCTGTACATAACTTAAAGGTCTTTTTATCTTGTGTGTTTGAGGACTGGGTCGAATTCTACTATACGCCTATCTTGTCGGTGATATAGACCTAGTAAAGTTCAACACGATATTTCCATGTCGTTTTATATACGGGTCACTTCTGTACTTATGTGAAGAAATGCCGTAACTTTTTCGTGTTGTCACCTGTCACCAACTATAAAACTAATATGCATGAACACAATGTGAAATTAAGCGGCGAGTTGTGGTGCCAAAACTGAAAAAAAGTTGTCATTTGTTATGTCATTTGCACCTTTTATTGTATCACTCCAGTTGTCACAATTATACATGAATACTTTTGTCTCTACTATTTATCTTATATAACGCCAGGTGACATGGTGCTAGCAGGGAGAACACAGGCCGCAGTGGTGTCAGATGGACAGTAAGTTTCATTTCTTATGTATCAAGCTAATATTTATTTACAGTATAGACGGAACTACCCTGCATTAAAGGAATAATAACTCTTCGAATGACATCTATATTTCACAACAAAAACATTGTAAACAGCTCATAGAAATATAACATATTCTGTTTTACCACAAAAACGGCAGTAATAGCTATTATTCTGATATCTGAGCTAGTCTTCGGACCACTTGACCTCCATAGATGGCTATACTCTGTAATAATCTCTTAAGAGATTATAACAAAAAAAAACTTTTTTAGAAAAAAAAAACAGGGACTAACTTTGAATGTAGAAATGGATTCATTGACCATTGGTAAGTATGGGAAAACTGTTGTTTACTCCAGGAAAATTCGTTTTTTTGGCCAACAGTTATTATCCCTTTAAAGTATTTATGTTGCCTCTCAAACTCGTAACTCATATACGTTTCTCGTAATCGTTTTAAACAAATAATGAGTGTGTTAACACAATTATTAATGTTTGAAAGAAGTTGGTTGTAACCTACCATCATTGATGAAACGATGTCAACGTCGTGACTTATAAATTGCGTCATGAGAAATATCGTGAAGCTTTTTTAAAAGTTTAATAATGTTCAAGTCAATTTTAAAAAATACTTTTGATGTGCATCTCATAAGTGGATATAGTGAAAGCGTAATTTTGTTTTAGAAATCAGGCATATGCTATTCGAAAAGAACAGGCCGTAGTGACTGAGATAGCTCCGGGTCAGTATGGTATAGTCACCCAACAGCAAACTGTCTACATCAGCGCCTCCCAGCAAAACCTCCCAGCTCTGCAGTATGTACATTTATATTCGAATTATCATCAAAATACAATGGAAGTATCCTCTGAGAAAAAAGTTTAGGAAACATGGGCAGAACGAACTATTGACTTTTTATCTTTGTTTGTTTCACAGTCCATGTAATTGGGACATAAAATCGATGTAATTGGGACATAAAAAGATAAAAAGTTAGAAATGTTCAAGAAACTGAAAGCTCGTTCAAGTTTCATCTGATGAAATATAAATTTATCATTCATATAACACCATTCTCCAAGAAGACGGTAAATGGCTGTATGATAAACGGACAATATCAAGTGCGGAAAAAATCGCTTGGAACTACTAGTTATTATTTATTTATTTATTTATTTTACCTAAATTTTCCAAGGTACCAGCCGGCTGGGAATGCCCCAGTAATAGTGCAGGTAGAGAGAGATGATGATGAGGATAAGTGTATATGCTGTGAATCGTGTTGTACTTGTTCCGGGACATGGTATTCTTTCCATGGGAAAGGTAAGCTATGTCGCAGTGATGTTTTGAGTTTCGTTTTGCTTTCGTCACATTTACATGAGATCAACAAGAGCGCTCTGCAGTATGTGAGACGTATTCTTCTTCTAAATTGTACGGTTCATTTCACCTAAGTTCATTTCACCTAAGCTAAATGTGCAAGAAGTATGTTAGCTTTTTAGTGAGTCTATTAATCTTTTTGATATTGCTAAACGCTCTTTTTACTCGGCAACTCTTTGAAACTGTAGTTTTCCTTAGAAGCGAATCCTCTTCTGGGTGAGGATTTCCCCCATGTATTCATTGATATCATGCCTTTCTTTAAAATCTCTTCGTAGGTTTCTTTCCGGTATGCATGATGGTCGTGTTCTACATCATTTTCGGTGTCTTAGTTCTGGCACTGTATTGCTGTTGGTGCATCTTGTGCGCGGTTTGCAAGTCCTCCGATGACTAACGTCACTCCATGCGCCATGGATACAGCTTGCTGGAATACTGAGTGCATCCATTCCAACCTTAACGCTGAACAACCTGTCTTCCAATATGACTGATAAAAAAGTAAATTATGACGCCTTTTTTCTAATCAACTATATTATTTTATAGATATATTATAAATAAAATAATAAGTAGTTATGGATTAATGATTTATAGCGAATAATTATATATATATGGATATTTATATCCATAAAAAAGGATGTCATTTTTTGAAACAATAATGATCATCACGATGAGATCCTGAACGTATGACATGATTAACCCACATCAGAGGTTTTGTACAGAAAGTTATTTTTTCTAGTCAAGTATATTATTTAGAATTGTCATTTTGCTAACCAGAAATTTCATTGGCACGGTGATTTGATATTACTTGATTGAAAATTAAGGTGAGGTCAAGTCAGTAATCGTTTAGAAATAGCTAATTCTTTTTACCTTGCAAAAATTGTAATGGATGGCACGTTCATTTAGTTTGCACCATTCTAGGTTAGATTTCCAATGCCATTAACAGTCAACGTGATACATCTTTGTAAAAGCAGAGATTAGACTTTATCTTTCTGGGTCAATTTTTTGCTTAAAGCTTTAACCTTGTCTACCATAGGCGTAGGCGGTGGTGGTGGGAGAGGGGGATTTTAGCTCCCCCATTATTTTAAATTACGACAGTCTTAAACGCAGTAAGCAGGGGATGGAGGGGGGGCGAGACCCCAGTCAACCTATGTCAAACTCTAGGTACAAAGTTTTGGCGCCTTTTTTTCTTGTGAATTCAAAATTTGCATTCAGAATGTAAACTGATAATGCGGCCCCCTGGAGTGCGACGAACAACATTATGTACTGACAGCTGTAAAAATGATAGGCAAAGTGTCTTATTTCACTTTCTATTTACATAAATATTGAAAAATTGTACGATCGAGTAAATAATCAAGTATTATTAAAGTAAAAGTGTGATAAGCATGTGCATGTATTCAAGAGACCTATGTTACATGAGAGATGTACTAATTTGAAAAAGATAACGTCACAAGATATAAATTTTCAAATAAATGAACAGTGTTCTGTGCTCGTGTATGTAATAAATGTTCTTGAATTAACATCTTTCTGATATGTAAGTGATACAATGTACACCTCATACTAATTGATAAACCAGAAACTGAACTACATACACTGTACGTGTCACGATTGTACTTTGTACGAACTGGTCAAAATGCGTTAGATGCGACTGAAACATTGCGTTTTACCAGAAAAAGCTCGATTGTAGTTAACTTTAAGTTTTACATTCTTTAATCTTTATGACTTTATATATGTAGAAATTATACCTGCATTTATTTTACGTATTTCAATGTATTTTCTCTAATTCAAAAAAATCATTTTGTTGACTTTTCAAATGATGAGAATAATTGACATAAGTGAATATAGCCTACAGTGTACATGTACAGTATATGTGGCCCCTTTTCTCCACTACAACATTTGCTTTCATTTTGGCTCTCTGTCTAGACATGACTTCTGAAATACTTAGACACCAAAAGGCATAGGGAAAAACTGGCAACAAGCCTTTTTTTTATATGGTCCTTTAACCTTCAGCCCTCACCATACTTAGTGTCGTGTTTTATGTAGAATTTCGCTGCCTTTTAACTTTTTGTTTTATTATTCTTTAAAAAAAAAGAAAAAGAAAGAAAGAAAAAAGTTTTGATAGTCTGAACATAGCATAAGTCATAGAATGGTTATCATTTACAAAATTCTATATTTATACCGGGTACATGAAATTTCCTCCTAAGCCCCTAGAAACATAAAAGATGTAAAATGAGTGATGAGAACACTTCGTTTTCCTTTACAAAATTGCTAACAAAAGCAGGTTAAGTGAACTTTTTAGTTAAAACTAGCACATCAAATTAAAGAAACATTGTACACTTGCGATCATGCCAACGGTGTTTGGACGTATTAAGTGATTTGTGAAATTGTTCACTGTTATGCATAAGTGACTTTGATTAACCTTACGTTGAAGTATGGTATGGACTCTTGTCATTTGTTCCATTTTTCTTGGGTGTATTTGTTTCTAAATGTGATGTCATATTGAGTTCCTCTGATTAAAGACTGCTTTGCACACATACACCAGAATCCCAACCGAAAATATGAAAAAAAGAAAATCATTGGCCAGTCATATGAAATATCGTGTAAAGACTTTCAGTCTTCCGTGGTAAAATTCATGCTTTAAAAAGCCTGTTTTCAAAAACTGCCAGAGTTTGAGAACAGACTGTATTTCTTAATGCGATCACTCACAATGACAATCACTGTACTGATCACTGACAATATTACAAACGCAATGCGCCCTTGTAAAAAGATCTCCTCTACCACATTCTCTTACTCCACCAACCGCAAAGAGTGATGTTTGAACTTTGTATTCATTATAGTGTCAAGTATTTACTTTTCTATTAGAGAGTATTATTGAAAGCCTGCTTATGATCGGTAATACGCTTTTTAGATTTCAATAAGTGCTATATTGTATTTCAAAAGTAATTTCGAAACTCCTTTGATATATTATCCCTTCATAATGTTTTGTGGACAATTCAACACGCAAAGTTAGGACTATCCCCAGCTGCGCGTCAGTCTCCTTAAGTCCTGTGTCTGTTAATCTTGAAACTGAAATTGTCCACTACATACAATGGTGTGGCTGTAGGCCTTGTCAAAGTGAAGTGGTATTTTCGTTTTAAAGAAACGGAAGTGATTTCCAATTTGCGTGAACTGGCACGGTAGGTGGGCACCTACCTGCAATGAGGGTCAGGGCAAGGAAGTACAGGGATAAACACACGCCAGAAATATGGTTTTCATTTCAGTTGTACTTTACCATCAAACCTCCCCGAAATAACTTCAGATTTATCATGTAAAATAATGACAGTGAAATGCGTTGGTGGGGAATGAATCGGGCTGTTGTTCTGTCCTGGTTTATCATAATTTTCATTACTAACGTGGGACGGCGACTGATTCAACTCTATAAATCCCAACACTTAATCCCCCTCGGAAAGCAATCCGGACGCCGCGCCGCAGTGATTATCACTTTTACCGCAAGACCGCCCGGGGTAAGAGGCGGGGCTGAGACGCTCCGTAATAAAGAGGTGGGTAGATCATTATAGGTAACAATGGTTGACAATTTCCCACTGGTTAGCCTTTCCATTGAGTACAATTCATCTTAGGGCTTTTATCCTCTTCTTCCCATCCACGGTGCGCACAGGAAATTCGAAAGCTTGCCCCAGTGGTAGTAAGGCCTACTCACGTCGGCCGGGGATTGTCTTGACGGGTGGGCACCATTCATCTGTCCGCCCCAATCTCCCTACTGCTATTGCTGCAGATTCATATATGCGGAATCACTGATCACAACCACAGGAGGCGCAACAATTGCTTCTTTTGTTTCTAGACTATGAATACCTGCTTGCACAAAGCCGGGTTTTATGTGACCGGCATAGCTTCTGTTAAATATTTCGGAAAATTCCAGCAAAAATATCCCCAGGTACTTTTATTTTAGCGAGTACAGTGTTTGAATTCTGTTGACCTCAATGAAAAAAAAATCATCACGCAAAATCTTCTACCCAAAATCTGAATTAATTATTCATAACAATATATCATCTTATCGTTGTCTCGTGGTTTTTCTAGTGCGGCTTAAATGTAATACGGTAAAAAGTCATTCAACGATGGATCATGAGACACTTTTTCACTTCGCCACGGTGACAAAGTATAATCCTCATTCTTTTGTGCTCAGTGCCATTGCTGTGTTTACAAGTTTTGCAAGCTAGAGGGTAGACAAACACCATTTCCTCTCCCGGGCTCTCCGCCTCTATACGGTCAAGTTGACAAAGTAAATGTCCACTTCCAAGGTGGGCAAACACATCGGTGCTTTTCAGACAGTACACACCGGTCGTAGTGGACAAAACACACTGAAGAAATCTCACCGCCAATACATTATCCCCTTTTCAAATGCGAGATATTATTCTCGGTTCCTGTTACGTTAAAAAAGTGGAAGTACGGTTAGCTAACAAGCTATGGTCGTTGCCTTTATTAGTCATTGGTTAAAATCTACCAGCAATAATTATCAGGTGTCAAATCATAATTTCAACGTGTAGACATAGGAGCTTCGTCGGCACTATAATCGCGCCTCTCGTAAGTGTGAGTGCAATATTTGTTTAGATCGGTACACCGCAGTAGATCCCGCTAATAGCCATCTATAAGGACAGGGTTAAATTTGAATTCTTTATTCTTAGGTAAACAATTCCACACACTTAGCAGCGGTTTATCCAAATGCTGTATAACTGCACACTTAATACCTATGACTATTAAGGCGGCGGAATCTCCATTGTTGCGGTATCGTTCATTAAAACTTAACTCTGACGTTTCCTTTCTACGCCCTGATTGGTCAACATTTTTTTCGCTGCGTCAATGAAACTGGGACAATGCCACTGAGAGGGGGAGCAGGAGGAGCCGACGGGCTGTTATGATTGATATTGGCAATACGATAGTACGTTGATGTGGTTATTTTGACATCTGTCAAACATTTCTCCAGCCGCACAAGCAGATAGACTTACAGAAGGCACTAGTTAATTTTCACGCACAATTGACTCAGCGATAGTCCCTCCCCCTTCATGAATACACAGTGCTTATCGCTTAAATAGTGGGCCTGTGCTCACCTGCGAATAGTAGTGTACTGGAAGCAGTCGATCTAATGTGTGTAAATGAATAATGAACTAGTACATGTGATTCACCTGGCTTCTGCATATAGGATAAGGATTGGTGAAATTTGAAGAATAAATCATTGGATGGTTTTTAGTAGGTTTTTTGAAGAGGCCGACAACGGACGTATAAAACCAGGAACAGAGTTCTGAAAGCTTTTAAAGAGGTTTCTATTCAGTGATTGTCAACTTTTAAGAGGAGACCTCAGTGACACCGGCAAAAGAAGCCAGGCACAGTAGAAGTATCTCGCATACAAAGCAACATGTGGTTGTCGAGAGATGTCTTAATAGCCTTCTTCTGGCTAGTGAATTCTTGTTTTTTATCCCACACAACGACTTTTGCTAAAGAGCATCGCGAACGCGGCTCAGCGGATCGCAGTCAATCTCATAAAAAGAAAGAACTCTCCACAGTTAGTAGTAGTAGCAGTAGTAGTAGTAGTTCCATGGACCTCAAATGCCCAAGTTGTGATCAGATTCACTGTTCTCCCAGGAGAGCGTCAAAACTGTACCAGAAATGTAAAGGTGGGGTCACCCTCGGAGTCTGTGACTGCTGCCCCATTTGTGCTAAGGTGGAGGGAGAAGATTGCGGGGGAGAGTGGAACTACCTCGGGAAGTGTGACAATGGTCTGTACTGCAAGCCACGCTCGCTGCAACATTATGACGACCAAGTGGCTTTTCCTGGATACTCCGGGAACAAGATGAACAAGATACCCGAAGGAAAGTGCACGAAAAGTAAGTACAAATGATGGCTACGATGATAACGTAAATAAAAGCATCAAATGTCGGAGTAAATTAGGGTGCTAAATTCCTTTTAAGCTCAAGTGTGCTGATTTTATCTCGTTAATGTCTATTTCTGTTAAGATAATGTTTTCGTGGGTTTTAATCTGACGTTTAATGTTTAGCGGTTGATGATGAATTGTATCAAGCGCAATAGCAGTAGTAGACTTTGGAACCAATACACACCGGACACACAATTACAATACAAGAACACCGCCAACAACGGGTAAAACACCCACACCACAGCACCGCTACACAACAAACATACGTATCGAACTGAAAGACCAATACAGGAAATTCTGCAGCGATCGAAAATCATTGCTGCCTCCTAGTTACGGGTATCTTACGCTCAGTTGGTCCTAATGACATCATCGTGGACGTTACAACTGTCATGTGCCCCACAGTGATGATGCACTTCAAATTCCTACCTTATCCAACAGTGAAGGAATAGCACAGGTTATCGCTCTCCAAATATGATTGGCACCTCTATCAGCAATGACTAGCACAGGCTAAAATTTATAGAAAAATATCGCAGTATATACACAGTCCGTGATTCATTTATAAGCTGAATTTCTCAGTTGTTAAAATTTTTAGCCCCGCGGCACACCCTGTAACGCCCGACTTTTATCTTAAGATTCAATGTAAAGCAAACAATAATAACAAGTTTACAACGTATAAATACGTGGAATAGTCTGTCCACTATTTTAATACTCATTTCTGGGGATGTCAACGCGTGAGGGTACAGTACAAGGTCCTGGTCTCAGAGTAGTAGTCGCAGAGGGTAAAAAGAGCACGGGGACAGTTGAATTGGGACGGGCATTTACCCCATTAACTGTTAATTTAAATGACCACGGTAGACGCTACCTGGACACTCTTAAAGCTAACATCTTAATATCGGCCTGTGGGTCTGGGTCAAATATCTTGAAAGCATACCGCAGATCGATAATAAATAAGTAGAGAATAAACAATTTTATTTACACACGGCGTGTAGACGGACTAATATACACCGGCAAACTCACTGATTAACGCGCCCATATAAACACCACCCAAGCTTTACTCAATAAGGATCGTGAGCAAATACAGGTAAGGACGGTTTTGGATACACACTGTATAACACTGAGTGGTATTCTAGCACGGTAAAGGTCGCAAAAAGAATACTTTGGCCTCCGGCAACGAAAGAGAGAGAAAAAGGCATGTCCTATGCCGCTATTGGAGGGTTTCACGCCCAAGGCTGAAAGCGGGAAGATCAACTATCAAAGTGATCGGCGAAGCATGACCAAGGCGAGCTCAATGAAGTCGTTAACGAATCTTAACTCCCAGGCAAATGGCGTGAACAAATTAAAGCCCGTGTTCTTTCTGTATTAACCCGTCAAGTGTCAACTCCGCCGCTGAACTGCGAGCAACAAGTTCCGTCTCCAGGCCACGGTTCGCACGTCTTCTTTTCCAGCGTGTCATTCGGCGTGAAATCCCCACTCTCCGTGCACAATGGTGCGGTATGACCTTACAAGCATGCAATCCCTTTGGTCATTAACATAGGCGTGCTAATGACGCTTAATCTTCCATCTTTTTGTCTGAGGCGCGGTTGGGGACATTGGTGCTTGAAAACTCCAGCTTAGGGGAATTTTCACACTTCAAGGGGACGGGGTAGTATAAATATTTTCACTGCGGCAGGTCCTATTTTATAAATAGCGCGATCAGCAATTCTCGCCTATTTCACAATGAAATTAAATTACTCGGCTATCTTGAATAATTGCAACTCTTCCGACTGAGGGAGTCAGCTGCGATTCCTAGTCGCACACTCCGTTAACTCGCAGTTACTGATCACGGTGACAACCGCATGAAATTGGATTGCCAAGTTAAGTGCTTTTGTGAATGAACTTATCCAACCATGAGGGATTACAGACTCTCTTTTTTTCAAAAAAGAACCATGTTTAAGGTCTTGAATATCGACCCTATCAATCTGAATCACCGAAATAACCACACTTAAAGTATAACATTCCCTTTTTTTCGTTTACTGTATATCTCTGTTGTTTTAACGTGTAGTAAGCAAACGTAAAGCTGTATAACGGAATACATTCACATTTTGATTGCTCCTAATAATTAACCGCAAATACGCCATGGTATCTCTATCCGTATCTCAAGATGATCACTTGAGATACGCTCTTTACGTACAAAGGCTATACGTTTACCCTGCCTTGACGGTCAGAAAAGGACAGCGTTAAGTTTGATTGCTATCTGAAATCAATATAGAGGGAAACGAGAGAAACCGCTGGAATTTTTTATCAACAAATTATACTGTGCTTCACAGGTCTGGGTAGCTTTGACTCCAACCCAACTCGCGACCTAAAATTAGATGGAAGTTCGGCTCCCGCGTGCCACGGGCTCATATTCCTCTTCATGACTTGCGAACCACGAGTAAAATCTGGCATCCAAACACCTGTCTCGTATCAATCGGTGTAAAGGCGACTGATTTTTCTCTGACCTTCTCTAATCTGAGCGAGGTGGAGGAGCAAAAGTTGCAGTTTGTTCTACACTCAAGTATAAAGCTTTGCTAGGGAATTTTTTTTTTCTTTCATAGGAACTCTCCATTCATCACAAAACTTTTTTTTTATTTCGCGTGAAGTTTTGTTTTTAAAACCCGAACTTAACCCTCTAATGTGTATCAAAACAAGTTAAACACAACATAAAACAATCTTGAGGTTTCTGTAAGCATACGAGAAACGACTTCCGGAAAGGAAAGGATGGTTTTTCCTATTTAGTCTGAATTCGACATTCCTACCCTCCGCAATTTCACGTAATGTGATCTGAGGTGGAAAGTTTTAAGTGTTGTCTCAATAAACTTGATGCTGTGACAAGAAAGACGGTCATTAATGTAGAAAGTTGACTATCTGGTGTTTTCACTATGTTTTAACTTGCTCAAAGCCTCCAGGCCCATGTTTAAGCAGAAGGCATCAGTTTCCATGCTTTTGCAGCAGTTCCTGTAAAAAAAAACGCTCCACATGACATTCCTACACTAATACACGACTCCGACTGTCTCACTTCTGTATTACCCGAAGCTCAAACTTAACACTTGTTGAATGATTTTTCTTTCCTTATTCAGGGCCAGGTATGGTTGGAATTCAGGGAGTCCCGGGGTATTGCCACCCAAAATGTACCCCAGACTTTTGTCGAGATAACCCGAAGGCAATATGTGCTGCTTTGTAAGTATTCATCAGTTTTCAGATTTTGACGACATTTTGGAAGTATGTGAAACATTTTTTTCTTCCTGCTAATATCACCCTTAGTCGTCATATTAATAAGTGCTGGCTTTTGGTGAACCTGCCCGTGTACCATGCGTTGACAGGTGGGATACATGGTCGGAAATTAAAGCTGAGAGAGAAAACACATATGCCTAAATCATTGTGCAAATAAAGATCTGGGTTAAGCTTGACCCTCATTAGTTAGCGTGAAAAAATATTTTAAAAAGAGGAGAGGAAAACGAGAGTTCTATAAATTTCGGTGATTCAGGCAAGAAACTTAGAGCTCGTTGTGATGTTGCTGAAGTCCATAAAAGAACATATAGTAAATAGTTTGCCGGAGAATGCAGCGGTGTTCTTAAGATCCCACACACAGGCGATGATTCGGATTCTCAAATATGACAATTTATCATGACCAACTGGTTTCTAAGGCAAAATCGTCTAAGAAAAGACACGGAACAGTAAACTTTGCCAAATTCCCTCCAAGATAATATATTGAGGTAGTTGCTTTGTAAAGCATCCGTTTACTATGCCCATTTATTATTTTGAAGACTAGTTCGTGAACTATTGGAGCTCTTCTCAGCTCGGCCCATAAAGCAACAGAATAAGGTAGAGAAAAATAGTATGATATCTTTCTATCTTGTAAAAGGATTGATAACGCACTGAGGGGGGTGATCGGTACGTAAGATGTAAACATTCTTCCAACAAATAAATCACACGACCTGATACTCTATGAATCAGAGTTATTCAGAAAAACTATGTACTGAGATATGAACAGCCTGCGCTGGTACCCTGGTATCGGAGATCGAGTCGTAAGCAAACGACATGTACCAAAGGTGCGCAATCCTATTCAAATCTGCTGAAAATCGGGGTGATCATATGTAATCGCTAGATGAAAGAACTGGAGGAGCAATACAGTTACAGATTATCTGGGTGGATCAGGTAGACGTGCAAAAAGTCACTACATTTTAAAGAGGAAGTTCAAAGTTGGTACCCAACACTTAAAATCGATGTCACGCTTTTTTATTGACAAAATTGAATTTATCAGAGCACACTCGTGAAATTAGTTTAAATTTCTTCCAGTAAAATTCACTTTCTGTTTAAATTTACTCCGAATACCAGCGTAACTGTTGGCCGTCCCACGCCCCTTTTTACCAAAACAGATCTCTGACATGTGGTTTCTTTCTCTGGCCGGTAGGCAAGAAGGTGTGTTGTAAGTTGTCCTTAAATCAAACAGGTCTGGAACACACAACAAACTTTTTTATCAAATCTAACGAAATATTATCATTTACAAAAAGCTGGTCACTTCGCATTCCCCTTTTAATTCCAATAAATTAACACCCGGGCGTGTCATTTTATATCCTGAACTGTAGTTTAAGTCTATCAGTGCAAGAAGTACTGAGTAAATAAAAGAACATGCACTCTAGCAATATCTGTTTCGACCCAGTTGGAAAAATGACTTAGTAACCTCTTCTTGTGTACAGAACACACACGAAGTCGATGTATTTATTTTCTTTCGATTGCTGTATTTTTCTAAAACTTTTTATTTCTGTAACACTAAAGGTCCATAATCGATATTTTATAGGGTGGAATTCAGTTTATAACATTACAGTCTGTAAAGTAATTGGTAGGTGTACGTGCAAAATAAACACGGTTTAAATTTACCGTTGTGAAACATGATAGCCTATGTCAGGCATGGGCCCCCCTTCGATTCTAGACCTTTCCACACCAGCTCCAAATCATAACTATATTAATGCGAACAGTCAACACAAGGAGGGGGAGAAATTTTGACACTTTCCTGAATAAATAAACAAAAACTCATAAAGTAACAAAATCATTAATTCCGCACTTGGCGGGTCATCTCGGTCATACGTGTCCACTGAATCGCTATTATATACCGCGTCATGAAATTTTGTGGCCAAACATTTTTCTGTCCTTCCATATTACTGCTGTTGAACTCTCTTAAATGTACTTTGTAGTCAAGGAAAACAAGTCTTGTTCGAAGGCAGGATTTTTTTGCGTAAATCACAACTTTGATTACATATCTGTTTTCATTTGGCTTTTCGACTTCGGCCATTCCCACAGTGGGTTCTCATTAATGCAACAATTAATTTCCACCATCTAATTCAACCAGGGTAGTGGTGGGTGCTGTGGCTTGCTGCAATTTGTAAAAGGAAACAAAAGTAAAGGAATCTTTTTGAAAATTTATGTTTTCCTACAAGTAGTACCTGCGCGAAGACATAAGCCCTTTCGCGGGAGCCTGGGTGCCCTAAGGCATACTCCAAACAAGTGACTCATAATACTCCCCAAGGGCTTCATAGAAACGTGTCCCAGTGCCACCCCAAGCCGAGAATTTCAATTGTCATTACACCTGAAGCACGTGTAACGTATTATCGACACCCTGACACAGAGATCATATAGTACGTCACTATCCCTGTGCAAAACAGGAGAGCACGTCAGTAGTTTCCCAACTGTATGTATGCGAAATCCTTATACAAGTGCGTGCGGGGAGCTATCAGGTGGTATCTTTCCAAGGCCCCTCCTCGGCCGTAGGGGAAAGAGCTCGCCCCTCTCATTATCCCCGTTTTAACTCTCTAACAATCACATCGCACCGAAAGGGGCTGCACACACGGTAGCTCGTTAGACGTAGAAAAGGTTTCATGTTCTCTCGACACGATTTGAGGCTTACTTATACCTAAATAAGAAACGGGTTTTTTGTTGTTCAGGGGCGCCCCGCCCCGCCTCGAGACAACACCCTGGTCGTTAAATATTGGAATCCTTGTTTCGACCCTAACCGTGAACTTTCATGAACTAAGTTTGTTCCCCCATTTTTATCTACGTCATTTCTGCATTTGTATATCATCAGTACTTCAAACACGCCAGAGAGGTCTGTATCGTTACTGTTGCCAGGTAGAAGAAACTTTCCGGAGATCATTATTTTGGTATAAAGGATGATTACATATTAATCGACATGCATATAATTCCACACATTCTTTACTTACATTTAAAACATGTCGGACCAGTGCTTAGGCAATCACTATCAATATTTCTACAAACTTCCACTCAGTATATAAAAATAACAATTGAAAATAGAAGAAAATACCGTCGACTTCCCATGCTGGTCACAAAAATAACATCTCTTTAGTTTGGCTCGCTATTTTAGATTTCCGGAAGAATGTAGTGTACCTCAGTGGGTTTGTAGTTACAAATTGCACAACTAATGTAAACACAGACCAAATGCAATTTTGAAGTCGCGACACCGGATACCCATTTAATAGCTAATTAATATTTGGCCAATTAAGAATCTTGATAAATCCGACATTTGCTCCTCCCTGAGCGCCCGCCTACCCCAGAGAGGAATAACAATTAGCGCTGTTTGAGCCATACCGTAACTTGTGCATTTATTAGCCGAGACGTGACTGAACGGTTCTAAAATTATCCCCAGCTCCCTAAAACAATACTATATCTCATTGCCTTCTGACAGCAGGCTATTTTTACTCAGATTTTTTATCTTAGCTGGTTCTCTTTCCTTGAAATAGAGAGCACTTGATGACTTATTTGATGGAATAATGTAATTACCACGTTGTGGTGCTACAGCTATTAGATATTGACTCGCTTTTAACTATGTAGTCATCGGTTATTTTACTATGGTAAGTGGGAATCCTAATCCATCATGTGTATTGTTGTGTCCCTTAATGCATTGCTTTGTCACTTTAAATTCCCCTAAAGAAACGCGTAAAAGAAATCGGAAACTTTCCCGGGGTATTCCAGTGGCTCAAAATCCGAAAGAAAAGCCAAGAGATGTGGAGAAATGTGCATATCGAATCGAAAACAAGGCATTTTCTTCTCATTCCATCTTATTGATAATGGACATAGACTACCTAGGTAGCTGAACGGACTTTCATCTTAACCGCTTAATGTGTGCACGCAGGTACTCGAGATTCCAACGTGCAATCTCCAAGTCAAACGGCAAAATTGAAGCCGGTGTTTATTTTTCAGTTTGCCTCAAGTAGGTTGTTCACTTAAGCCAGAAACAGGCCTCCTTACACTTCAATCCCCGGAGATTATCGTAGTTTACGTTAGGGCCATTTCGGCAAATTAGCTCTATTTATTTTTTTCGTAATTGTGCTTAGAACACTCAAGTTAAAGATCCGAAAATTTGCGGTGCTGTGTCCGTGAGAACGGCGAACAAACTGATCGCTAATCACCTGCAACTACAAGAAGTAAACGATGCCGTAAGTGCTCAATCATTTAAGAGTTACCCTTTTCACCGCAGTTCCTTTGACGTAGGTCCTTAAATTTTGTCTTTTGTATGGACTTAATTTTCACTTAAGCATTAATTTTGTTGTACACTTACCAAAAACTGATCACCGAACAAGATTTACCAAAATCGTCACGTTCTTAAGAACAGGATTGATATTTGCAAAAGAAGATGCGGCGGCAACAAAATTATAGGTTGAAATAAAGAATAAGGATGTTTTCCCATTAATAGGGTGTAGTCGTGTCCGTGCAGATCACTTTGAGTCGCCAGTGAAGGTTATAATAGTGCGGTGCACGCAACCCGGCTCCCCTCGGAGGCAGCGTGCGGCATATTTGCAAGGGGTGTGGTAACACGATCACACCAACCTGTGTCGGGCAGTGGTATTGTCACAGGCGATAAACCTTTTGTTAAGACAGCTGGAAAGCCCATAGAAGACAAAAACCTCAACAGACCAGAAAGGTGTAGTGTATTGTACGTTAAATATTGTCTAATATTAACGTGCAATTTCCGTTTCTAACATGTCATATTTTTATGAAGCACCTACTATTAACAGCTTGTTTACCTCATCATTATGTTTGGGTGTGGTGTGCACGAGTGTCAATCATATATATATATATATATATATATATATATATATATATATATATATATATATATATATATGTAGTATACTCATCTTTGGCCCTCGCGATTAAAGTCTTCAGCCCTGGCCTCGGGCAACGTAGCCGCAACAGAGCACTACATACATTTCAAGATGTTTTTTTTTCGTTTACGAGACGTAAAAGCAATTCTTGCTAGAAGAATATTTCCTTTTAGCAATAGGACAATCCAAAGCTGCCTCAAAAAGACAATCGTGACACAACGAAACTTCCTCATCTGACTATGAACATTTTAAAACTATAATCAGTAATGCTAACCTGAAAATTATGGGAATACATCAAAGTAGATAAATTACAGGGGCTATAAAGATATATGTGATATGGAATGGGCTATTTTTCAAATATTACAGAAATCTTTGGTATACGAAAGGTATTTTTAACCAATCTATCATCCTGCTTCTTTTGAAATTTCAAAATCATCTCATTTTTACAATGAAAAAGGATTAGTTTAATATCCAAAGAATGCGTTTGTGTTTAAAGTAGGTGGCACTGGAATTCAAACAATTTCTTCTGCATTATTCTTACTTAGGGGATCTTTTGACCGATATCAGACATATCATCATAAAGCAAGGAAGAAAAAGCAAAATTTAGTCCAGGGTCTTATTTCACCAGCGACTTCGCTATAAAAATGCGTCTCTTTTGTTAAATATAATAGCGAATTTAGCGTTATAATTAAAGAAAAAGGCAGCGTTCAGTCTCCATCTACATACTTCGCACGATTTATTGAACCACAAAACAAATGTCGAATTGCACGTACATATGAGAAGGTGTTACTAGTCGCCTTCACAGATATCGGCAGGTGGATGGTGGCGGGGATGGGCAATGAAAGACAAGGCGGTATTCTCATCATCTTCCTTATTTATGATGGTTTTTCCAGGCAGCTGATGAACGCTTCTTGCCAGAAGTTTCATCATATCGCGTAATGCACGCGAAGAATTATATGGCCAGCCATTCGTCTGCCATAGGGGCAAGCTAGGTCCCCATCTCTGTTGGTGACTACTGACATATCTGCCCTTAAAATTAAGGTCTTTTCTTTCCGCTAATTTTGGCAGGTGGTCTCCGTTTAGTTGCCGGGCAATGAAGATGCTCCACCTCTTGTTTTACTCTGGGTATTTAGGCAATAATTTTACCAGATGGGCCACCTTGTGTGGAGGCTGTTGTAACAATTACTTTCATGTGTATATGTGGAGGAATGCAGTGTAGCAGAACTGGAAAAGAAAGATCTACTAGCAGGTGGAACAAACCTGCAACGAGTTAGATATAGTATGGGTTCCGCCTTCCACGTTTAATGTACACACGCTTCCGGATAGAAAACAACATACACACACTTCCAGTTAGACAACATGACTTCACACACCTATGAACATCCTTTTGGTACACGGTGTCTTGCCAAAAGACACAGTCTGATTTCGGGTAACAGGATGGCGACACCACTGGCACTTGTTCACCACCCAGAGAGAAACAGGTCTCTAGCTTGTCAGAAACTTGCCAATTTAAGAAGCCATTCATCCATGAAGGTTTATGGTCCTTAGTTCAATGTTTTTATTATAATTTTGAGCAATTTTGCTGTAATTTATTGTAAGCCCATGCGGTCTGAGGTTGTGTTGCCTAACAGCTGATAGAAGGGTGGTTACAGGAAGCTGTGTCTCTTGCCTCCTGAGAAAAAAATACCCACTAATTCTGGAATGCCTCTTGCGTTCAGATGCGCTTAATTCATTTAAAAAGTGGAAAAACTGCAGTTGCATACTCAGGTACCAATAATCTAAGGTTGAGAAAATATTTAGATAATAAAGCTGCTCCATGATGGAAAGATTCCATGTTAACAGCTTACTTCAACCCAACAACTTTTGAAAAAACAAAGACAGCCACATCTCCTCCCTTTGCCTGACCACATTAATTCATTATTGCTCCCTTTCATGACAGAAACAATATGTTTAACAACATCAAAAAATTCACTCCAATTAAGGCACGTCTGGCGATATGTTCTTGCTCTCAGAGTGCTGGAGAGGGCAGAAGGTGACACCTCAGGCTTCTGCCCACCAGAGAGGTGTGACATGGTTATGGCCATTTCTTAAAGGTCAACTTTCTACAAGATAAGACAGATAAATCCTTTCTGTTTTTTCAACTTGACCTGGGCTTTTCTTCATGGTTGATGAAAAGATAGCATTTTTATGGCACTTATTCCTGCTTTTAAAAGCTTAGCTTTAAAAGAATGTGTAAACATCCTCTAAATTTCAATTATTTGATAATTTTGGATAGAAGCATGTGGATAATTTTATCCTTCTTTGTTGGGAAGCTGCATCATGTTTATGCAACACAAAAATTCAAGGGTGCAAAAGAAAAAAGAAGAAAAAAAATAAAACCTAAGAAACTGCTGCTGTCTTGAATTTGCACAAATTAGTAGGAGTTTATGTTACTCCATCACATTATTGAATCCAGCGCAAAGCTTGATGACTTAACCTGACTTTTTGTTGATTCTGCTCCAAGGGGAGATGGGGTTTGATTTGGATGTTGTTATTTGTTGGTACACCAAGATAAGATGGCTGTCATGTTATTCTGGGCCATGTAACTCACTGTTTACAAATGCAAAATCCTTTCTTATTAGTCAAAATGCAAATTGTTCAGCACAGACAGTTTTAACTTAAAAGTGATGGGTAGCAAAATCATATCAAACAGACTCTCAGTAAGACAGTAATGAGACAACTCAACTTAATCAATATCACCCCTTTTTATCAATGTAAGGTAGCCTAGAGGTATACTCCATACTACCTGTGCTTAACTTGGCATTACTCTACAAAAATAGTTACTGTAGGGTTTATGTGTTTTCTTAAGTAAATGCTTGGCTACTGTAAGAACACGTGAGTTTGATAAATTCACAAGAACCAGCTGAAGACCTTTAAATTCTAAATGATTTTGTGGTGGGATTGTAACAACTTCCAGACTGTATGGCAATAATAGACGGACATTTATTATATGTGCATTATTACATAGCCTGTGCCACTCTGCACAATGAAAAAAAATAGTTCAAATGAAGTAACCAATTCAACATATTTTACAAGATCAATTGAAAGCCGCATTCATTTTTTCAAGCTTTGGTTTATCAATTAAAATTCTTGATGCAGTGAAATATGTCCTAAGCACTATTTACATGTATTTGGAGTGTAAAGCCTGAACTAATATAAGCATTCAAATTCTATAATTCACATTTAAGAAGGAAACTTTTCACTTTTAACTATTAAACCAGGTGCCCCTTATCCATTTCATACATATCTCCAAGAAAGTTTTTTTTTCTGTTTCCTTGCCTATTCTTTGCTATTGTTATGGTTTCATTATTCAACTCAAACATGTAATCATTTTACTTCTTGCAGTGATGTAGCAGAAGTTAAGCAAAGTTGCCAAGGTGAATGTCAGCATACATCCTGTATGGCCTGCAGATTTGTCAACGACGAGCCAGACTGCGGAAAGTGTGCCAAAGATGACTTTGGCTGCATCAAAAAGTTTGCAAAATGCTACAAGAGGCATACATGTACAAGAAACAAGTTTCCTTGTAAAAAGAAGGTCAGTAACTAATGCCAGCTTATTTTCTTCCAACAAGGCAACCAAATTCCTGATAAGATAATAAAAACAACCCGTTCAACATTATCAGGAAATCTTAAATGGCTGTGATGAAAATCCATTTCCATATGAACCAACATTCAAAAGGTTCCAAAAAGTCACATTAAGTTCCTGAAATGTGAATCCCATGAGAATCTGCAGAGAAAATCCAGTGATCATAAAGAAATCCCATCTCAGGTTGCCCCTGGCAAATTGCTGTCATGTCAGCGGGGGCAATGGTGTGGGAGGGCATCAAAGTTAAAGTACAAACACACAACTGTCTTGCAGCATAGTAAACTTCATCGGAGCTCCCAACATGAAAGTGTTTATGTAATTCCCAGCCAGCAAGAACATGACAATAAAATAGATAAGGATGGAATAGTTCTTCTGGAAACTCTACTACCACTACTACCAGTGTACTTTAAAAACCACACATTGCTAGGGGGCGGTGATTTTTCATTGGTACTATGTATCAGTCATTTTCCAATATTGTTGTATCTTTTCACATCTAAATCTTAAAATGTGACAAGTCACCTCAAAAAACATTTACAACTTCTTGAAAAGAAAAATCCCTGCCATACTTTGTCAAGATGTGATTCGAGTCCCTCGTTGCACTGGTGGAAATAATCAAAGGCAAGGTATAATCTATCTCCTGCCAATTTTTTCACCGAAACAGAAGCATAAAACCACTTCAAGAAAACAAACAAGTGCTATGTGCATACCATTATGGCTTTTCCAGCAGGTCTTACAATTAAGAAGACTCCTCCTTTTTTGGAATCAGGGCAAAAAAAGAAAAGCAATGAACTTTGTGTTAGCTAGTGAATAGTCTTTACAGATGAAATCTGGTTTTTTATTCCCCCCCCCCTTCTTAATCTTAGGCAATTGCTTTCTTATTCCTTATCATATCCCCATTAAGTCAAACAAAAAATCTCACTGCCAGCCTTGCTTGCATTTCTCAGCAAAAAACACATCTCAACTAGATCTTGAATATTGCTTTAAGATAATTCCCCAAAACAATAGTTCAAAACTATAAGAAACATTTTTGAGGTCAATGTTTTCAAAATCACACAGATTACTTACTCAAAATTTGCTTGAATTACCAAGAAGCAGGGCCTGGAGGAAATAAAGCCCCCATTAACACATACTTGCTGGAAGAACTCTGAACTTAAAAAAGGAGTATATATATATATATATCATATGCAAAATTTAATTCATTAGAGAAAACTTTGTTGTATTTCTTGTAATCATAACTGTTTGCTGTTCTCTGTTATATCTGGACCATAGATGTGTTCTGTTCTATTCACAACTGTATTTAAATTCTCCTGGATCAAAGAACAAAAGAAGGGCCACAATACCACATATCACTTATTGCCTTTTCAGTGTTTAATGCCAGATCAATGTGTAACATATACTCACCTGTATCCAGATGGTCCCTACTCCCCCAATATCAGGATTTTGCATTTATTTTTTCTGATAAATTGACAACCATAAAAGGAGCATCCCAAATCCAGTTATCAAAAACTTTCATAAAGGCACATCAGGCCACTTTTTGAACACTTCACAGACTGACAGACACTCTTTTTTATCAAGGAACCCACTTGACAGAACACGGTTCGTTTTAACAGCAAAACAAACATGCCGTTTGTCCAGAAAATGGAAGAAAAAACTTCATTTCTTCCATTTACTCTTTTGTTTCTTGATACAAAAAAATATCACGACCCTCCCAAATACTCTGTTCAGTTAATTGCTGCCCAAGATTTTGTTTAAACATGCATTTTTTCCCTTGAATTGAAGAGTGTGCTTGAAATGAACTACACAGCCATAAAATAGAAATATCTTTTCCAAAAGACAGATGTTGATAAACACTCTTCCTTGCCTAAAGACTTCTGTTCAGCTTATTCAAAGAATTATCTTATGGCAATAAGTCATTGTTATTGGAAAAAAATTATGTTTAATGATGGTAAGCATATAGAAAATTTCCATTTAGGGGTTTACATGTATAATAAATATTATTATGAAGCCTTTTTACTGCCAGTATGTTTCACTTTTAATACTTGAACTTTTAATAATCTGCAATTTTTAGTAGAAAATTCCTGGTTGGCAGTTGATTATGGCTTCTATTATTACTACTTTGAAGAAAATGATGAGTTAGGACATAATATTTCCCACTAAATACATTTTCATCATTTACAGTAACAAAAATTATTCTTTCTCTATACAGCTTAAGTTCAAATGCAAAGTTTATTTTTGAATCAAAATCTCCAAAAATACCATCCATGCTGAAGAAACCCAAACAGGGGAAAAATTTGCCAGTAAAAGCTGGAGGCAGTTTCCATTCAGCTCCAGAACAGAGCAGGTGCCTGCTATTTAGTAGAGTCATGACGAATCTGTTACAAATCATTAAGGCCAATTTGAGTTGTGTGTTAAATACAGGATCAAAGCCACACAAGTGAATGTGATCCCAACGAAAGGTAGTGCTCCCTGTTGCATCGGCACGTTAATGCAACAATCCCCTTTTTTCCTCAACTTGGCCCAGTCATGTTAAGTTTGCAGCTATTAGTATAACACACTGAACACAAAGAGCCATAGGCAAATTCTGTAGTGGAAGTCAATGCAGAGAGCACTCCTTGTATCAGCTTGGTCTCCAGAGAAGTTTTTTACCCACCACTCGGATTAGCAAGAGACTGACACAGCAGTCGTCCTGTTTACTCGTGAAACAAATTTCTGTGTCACAAATGGAATGTTTTTCTAGGGGATAAATCATACATCAACAAATGGACCAATTAAATGTCAAGGTTGATCAGTCAAATTAAAGTTAATGGCTAATCTTGTAGGGGCATAATTTGAGGAGTTTTTTTCAAGGTATCCCATGTCTTACTAAAAAAATTGACTATGGCATTTTGATCTTTGAAATACAACATGAAAAATGTTAAATAATGAGGAGGGTGAAACTAAACAAGTGTTGATTGCTGGGGAGATCTTTGATGTTGCTGTGCTTCACTGAAAAAACAGTGATTTAATGAAAAAAAAGGTGAAGCAGGTGTCCCAGAAATATAAAATATTAATAAAATGTTGAAAGATAGCGCTGTTGGATTCAGACGGGGAGTGTAGAAAGGGAGGCTAAAAAAGAAAAAAATAGAAATAGCACTTTATATTGGTTAGACCTCTATGCCAGGGTTTTCACCTTTAATATAAGTCTGAAGCTGTATATCTGTGTTAAGTAGCACTCAGATATAACATGCTATGTACATATAGAGAAATACCATACCACATTAAGACACATTTTAACCAGGCATGATTCTTAATGCAGGCATTACATTCTCCTTAAGCATGTAGAAATATGATAGTAACATAACAAAAGTTTGATAAGTCTCTCAGGCGCTGTTGTACAAAAGTACAAACTATGGACGAAAAAGGATTTTAAAAAGCAGTTTAGTGAGGTGGATTAATAATGCCGAGGTAATGGTAATCACATTCCACCAGTCATAAAGGTCAGCTACCAAAGCACCAGACAGCTTGGACCAGCGACTGTTATTTTTGACCCCAGCTGAATTTTTGCTATGTGAGAAAAAAACAAGGCTCAAGTTGATATCAAAACAAAGGCAATGTATACCTGGATGCTTGCTGTTCTCTGAGCACCTGATGCACAACAAGCATTGGTCTCCAATCATATTTTCTATGGAAGGGTTGTGGCAGGAGAGGGGGTGCAGTGGCTCCAAAAACATGCTACTAACCCTCTGCACAAAGTGATGCAAATGAATGGCCAATAACCAAGTCTCCTGTGGACTTTTATTGATAATACTTTTATTTGTCTTATCCTCCAAATTATTGTTATGGCTTCATCTCAAAATTAGAATTTTGTTGTAGACTAAGTCCAGACTTGAATTTCTAAATGTAGAGTAAATAATGGCGTCACAGCACCAAGAATAGAAAGAACATTGGCAGTAAAAACCCCATACACTTACTGGCATGCATATGCCATCCATTGACAAAATATGGCAGAAAAATTGATGAGAACACTAACCACTTGAAATAACAGCCTACGTTTGATTTATGGAAGAGAATGATTTGTAGAAATATTTCAAAATCAACCAACTTGCATTTCAAGCTTTATTAAGCTTGTTTTTACTGACTTCATCTTAAGATGAGGAAAGTTTCTAATTTTCCCCCAATCTGGCATGTTTAAATATAGAATTCAATCAGGAAGCCCTAGTAGGCTATGTCCAAATGATATAAATTAAAGATCTGCTGCTAAAATATATAAAACATATGCAGTGTACAGAAGTCCCATTTTTTTCTTCATTTTCCCTGCACATCATCAAGTGTCTTTATATAAACATGCAATTGGCACGTTGACAAAGATCAAGCCCCTGACTTTCTTTGTACAGGTGTTCAAGATTTTATACAAGGTTATCCTGTCTCCATGATTGCTTGCCCCCACCCTAAGACCCAGGTGCTTGTGAAAATTTGTTGTACACAGGAGCAAGTGAATGGTGAAAGGCACTGTTAAATGAGACATAAAAGCATCTCAAGATGTCGTTTCTGCATCAGTAGACTGAGGGTAGAGACAAACAGGTGGAGAGGTTTCAGTGGCTAAAATGATCAAGCTGATGAAAGAAGAAAATTTTATGGGGATTTTACTGACAATTTAAGACATTGTGTAGATAGTGACAGACGATCATAGAGAGGAGGGGGACCGGAAGGAAGTGCCAATGTTTAAGTCTTTTATTGCCCTCAAAGATAGCAGGAATAATGAAAGATAAAAAACATACTCTTAATGACAAACAATTAAGCTGAAATTCTAGAAACAGTCACTCCTTTATTTTCTCCCATACTCAAAGACATACAAATCTCACAAAGGGTTTCTTTCTGTCAGAAAAGTTTTAAAATAATGGTCACTGAAGATTTAGAAAAAAAATTAAATATTTCATCAACAATGTAAATGATATCATGGTGAATATGTTGCATAATGAGATCCTAGCATTTTATCAGATCAGCTAAATGGCGGGGTTTTAATGTTTTTATCACCTCTCCAGCAATTTGGTTGCCTGACATTCGGTGCTCATTCAAAGCACTTTCATGGAAGAATAACTGTACAAAGGAGACACATATATATATGCACACCTTTTAATAATAAGCACAAGAAGTCCCTGTCAATTATAACAAGGAAATAATTAACTCAAGTTCAATATTGCTTTGTAAGGACATTTTGATATCTGTTGAAGATTTTAATCACTTTTGAAACATAAAAATTTAATGTTAAGAGTAAATAATTGACAGTTTGGCATACTTTAGAATCAAATTGTTTTCGTGTTTGCTTTTTCTATCTTGTTTTGTTATTTTTTTATATTTTCAACATGTGTCTGTCATTGTTATTCCTGCTTCATTTGTTTTTCATTTACTTCTTTTTATTCCCAAGTTAGAGTTTGTTTATCAATGGCAATATTTTTTATTCTTGCAGTTTAAAGAAAATGGAAAGTTCATGTGTGCAGTACCAGCATGTTTGGATTAAGCCGCAATATCAGCTGAATAAGATCCACATCACAGAAGATGAGCTACAATAGATTTGCCAAGAATGCAAAACTGTCCACGAGTGTTAACTTATTTATTCCCTGAAGTGATGACAATGACAATATTCAATACTGTGACAGGCTGATACCAGTGACAATGATGGGGCAGACAAGGATGGGTAATTGTGATTCAGAATCACACACCATGTCAAGAGTCAAGGACACAAAGGCATCGCACCAATGCCTCTTTTGCCAAAGAACATTCTCTGAGAGAAATGGAGTGTTTTACAAATGACATCTCGATCTTTTGTCACTTTTATGTATATGTGACTGCTGGACTTGGTCATCAGTAATGGTGTTGGACAACAGTTATGAAATTTTAATCAAAAGAAGAAAAAGATGTGTTATAGAGTATATTTTACATTGTGGTGAGAGACAAAATTGATGTTACACAAGTAAAATTCACTGCAGTTTACATTCCTGCTCACAGCCCCCCCTCCCGATTGTCTGTGATCTATCATTAAGCAGGAATCTTCATAAAAAATCAATTTTTTAAAAGTACTTTCCTTATTTTCCTTCAAGTACAGGGCATATGCTTTGATCATAGTATCCTTGGTTTTGTTGTGCAAAGTGTGCTTATATTACAAGTTGGGCATGTCAACCTGAAACATATCAGGTGAAATTTGTTGGTATATAAGTGCTAGATGTTAGCTCAGAGGCATTCAGGGGGTGAAATACCTGCATTTTTGATGAAGAGAATAGCGCCATACTTGCCTCAGCAGGAATCTCATGACATCTGTGGCATTGGGGCTATGTTCAGTCAAGTTCTTCAACTAAGTCTGCAATGCTACCGCCAGTAGGGATAAAAACCTGAGGTGCTGCTTTAGATATCGACTATCTACAGAATCTGTTCCGAAACAATTATATTTCTGGTGTGAAAGGCTTGACATTTCAGAAATATGATTATCATTTCTGCAATCAGTCATTGAATGTGCTCTATTTGGTCACTTGTCCTTATTTAAAGACTGTCCCCACCCTAAGTTGAGCTAAATATAGGATTTCCCGTTGTCCTTGTTTGTCTAAACCTCAGATTTTTATCCCATTGAACGTGATCTTGGTACATCACATGCTGTGACAGCATAAGATTTTGTGTAACAAGAGGCATAATGCACTCGTTTTTCTATAATCTGGATACACTAAGAGTTTATCTAGACATTTCCTTACTGAGGGTGGTAAATTAAAGGCAGAATAATGACCTTCAGAATATGGCCACACCTCAAATACATCTTTGTTAAGGGTAAATACTCATGGTGAATATTTCTTAAGGCCACATTTTTTTTCATGGTGGCAACTTGATAAAGTATGCTTAATAAAGAAGAACCTGTTTTGAATGTTCTCTAAGAACATTTTTTACTGATCAGTAAGGTATCTTCTATAAATGTAACACTCCAAACTAATGTAGAAGTTTGTACTGAACCACAAAACCACCTCTGTAACACGTATAAGATGAAGAAGACTTGTGTTAATTATGAGATTATTGAAAAAAATCAGAGAATTAACTACCAAGCCATTTGCCTCACCTGATCCTGCTCACCTAAGTACCTTATCTAAGCAGGGGATTAACTGGTCAGATATGGTAAAAGGGTCGGCACTTCAGTTCTTCACCTAATCAACAAACTGCACTGCCAATTCAAATAAGCAGGGAAGTATTTAATTCCATATATTGACAATCATGTCATTAGGTTTGACATTATGTCATCATTTTGCATGATTACTAGATAATGCGTGTAATATGAGGGATTTTGATGGGAGGGATGTGTTGGCTGTTAACCGTTAACCTGTGATCCCAAGTGACGGGACGGCATGGCAGGAACGACATGGCTTTATCACCATAATAATGTGTACAGGATTTATACCTCAAAGTCTTGGGAGGCAATTAAATCAAACCTGAGTTAACACAGAGGTGACAATTACAATAAGCAATTATTTATCATTTCATCAAACTGATACGGCACAATGTACAGACATGATACATTGATAATATTTTAGACAGCTAAAAGTCAAATCATGTTTGTACATTGTCAAATCAATCATCACAGTGAACATCATTTGTATAGTCAGCGAGATGTGATGTGTAGAAAAAATTAGGTTCATCTTTTCAAAATGTATCTTTTAAGCAGAGAAGAAAAAAAAACTTGAGTGTAAAATTATTTATTGTCATTTCAAAATCTTAGTGCTACAGTTCCTCACCCAGTATGGTTTATTGACTGGATTATGCAAAATTATCGACATTTTTATCACTAAATTATGATTTTTTTTTTAGAAAGTTTGAAGAATACGCCCTGGCAGGCAGAGAACAATGCACAAGTCACTGCTCACAGCTAGTTTTTCCCAGACGCGGTTATTTTTAACCATGATAATCTTTTTATCAGTTGCACAAATGGCCTCCACCACACATGTACTCAGTGCCAGTTTTAGTTTGTTTTAGCAGAAACAAATGTTTTTAAGACCTGCACAAGGTCTACAGCATAAGAATATGTAACACTATGCAAATAAATTGTCACCAGAAATGCAGATTAGAATCATGTAGTTAAGGTTAGTAATACCAAATCAGACCATCAGCAATATGCATGCTATGAAAATACTTTCAAAAAAGTTGATATTTTTCAAGATTGGATGAAAGTCAGAAGTATGCGTTTTTGCTCTAAGAAGTCGATGCTAGTCCTGCCTGAAGTGAGAAATCACAAATTGTACAAAGTGTACCATACATATAGCTGTGTACAGTAGTTTGTATGTGCTAGCTGTTTTGTGTCACTTTTTGTGTCGATATGTTATTGTTCTTTATTTAAGTTACCATGTAACAGAGTCTTATTTATGTAATATATTCTTGTACGAAAATAAAAAAGACCTCGAAGTACATATGGGCTTATTTGTGTTTCATGATAAAACATGCTTGTCACAGTTTAGTTTAGAGATTACTGGCCATAAATAGGCCTTAGCATTACAAAACTTTCAAAATAAATTTGAAATAAAAATTTTGATTTATTTAAAATCATTACTTTGAATGTGTACAAAAATGCACTTGATTTCACGCAGACAGGTGATTTGGTGCACATGGAGGAGGGAGGGGGGAGATATGAGCATAAGTATCACTCCATTAAATTTACAAATTAAACAGGAGGTCAACGGGTCAAGACGCACATCAAGCAGATAAACAATCTTACCAATGATACCTTAGAGTATTATGCTATAATTAATTAAAGCACAATCTTGGAGATTTAGGAATTTAAGATCTGTAAGGTACCCCAACATGTTCTGTGCATGCACTTAGATACCACAAGCAATGTTACACCTATCTTTCTAGGCACATCATAAATATGAAACAAAATTGAGTGTAAACATAAACAAGGTGTCTGCAGAGGAAGTCTCAGATAAAGCAATCTCTTTTCTTCCAGGTTAACTGTTTGAAAAATCCGAAATAAAATTTAATTTACTGCCACTTCTGCAAAAACTCATTTTAAAGTAGGACTCACAAAGCAAATGTTAGTTTGATGTTTATTTACTGGGTCCTAGTTTATACTGACCACATCAGTACAAGTGGAACTCATATATTAAAAAAGATTGTTTAGCTTAAGGTGTCATCCCGAGATCAACCTAAAACATCAGGTGAACTTCCAGCGCTGCCTATAAGTAGAACTACACTAAACACTTCTTAACTTTGAAATGTGACATTAACTAAATCCTGCTGCCTGGTTAAGTGATACAAATGAGAGGCACTCCATTCTCTGCTGGATGGGGTCACCCTCACAAACTACATCAGACACTCATCAAATCACTCTACAATATTTACTGCTGGAGAGGTTGAAATTTTTTTTCTCTCACAGGGACACAGAAAAAACCAAGTGATCCCCGCAGCAGACTTCCAGGCTATATGTCATGACAGCTCAAGACCTCAAGGTGCAACAGGTTGAAATCTTTGATGTCATTCTCTTCAAAGCTTCAATAGCAGTTTCCTAAGGGCTCTTGAGAAATATCCCTTGCAAAGGAATACCTATAGAACCTGTACACACCACCTGCAAACAAATTTTTACGTAAATATAAATAAAATTATACACTGTAACTGACACTTCATAAAGAGCCATGGCATTAAAAAAGATTTCACAACGAGAAAAGATTAATAACAGACCAAATATCATGTTAAAGAATAGAGATGAAATACTTTAAGAATACTATTATAAGAATATCCTTTTACCTGTGATTTACACAGGTACATATCACCCATATACGCCTTTTCTATTCAAGGAGAGCCCTGTAATTTATAAATGTCAAATTTCAGAACATTCAAATATTGTATTAAATAGCCAATTGCTTTATTTGAGGAAAAATACAGGTGCCATACGTGGTAACTGTAGGTTTGGTATTTTATAATAGCATTGTTAGTCTTGATACCTGTCTCCCCAAGATTTTCCTTTGAAGTACATTCATGGCTGCCAAATTTGTGACATCTTTGTACAAGTTGGAAATTCTTCCCTGGGAACTTCATGATCTCAGATTGCATCATTAGATTTTCAACAGGTAGCTTTTTTTTTACGGGTAGACCACAGTCATTTGTATGTTTGTGTGTGCGTGATGTGCATGCGTGCTTGAATGTGCGTGTGTGCATACATTAACACACAAAAATTTGTTGAAATGAAATATATTTCAATTCACAAAGAAAACATACCTTAGTACATCTTATTTTGTATTTTTCGACAGACACACAGCAGATTTAAGCTGTTAAAATAATATAAATCAGATCAAAGACCATCATAATTGAGAGAGGTAGTTAAAGTGTCAGTTAAATGTAAGAAAATTGTGGTGTTAGCTGTTGGCTAAATTCAATAGTGTTATGATGTAAAGAAAAAATGGCAATAATAATGCACTGCACTATTCAACAGCAGAAGTTTAATTGGAAATGTAAGAATAGAAAGTGCAAAATGTTGAGATCCAGGTAAAATACAAGTGAAATATATGCCCGTGGCAATCACTGCAGTTGTTGTAAAATTCTTTAGAGAAAGGGTAATCAAATTATCTTTTTTATTTTTATTCCATATGATCTTTTATGGTTTTCTTTGATGTTCTTGGCAAAAACGGTCACAGAGTGAACATATAAACTATCCCAGATTCAGACATTTATGACTATATAGTACTTGAACCCTCATGACATTCTTTCTCAAAGTTATTTCAGCAAATAAAAATATCACCAAATAAATCTTTCACCATTTTGTGCAAACTTGTCATTATCACTAACTGAATTTTCATATTATGCAATCTGTGTAATCTCATTCGAAACAGTCCTTGAAACATTATCAAAGGCAATAATACTTGGTTATATAGAAAGAAACATATTCAAAAGTTCAAGTGCAGTGAAAACAATTTAGACATGAATAACCAAAAGGCAATTTATAATCCATTAGTTCAAATGGTCAGTACAAACATCCTCTGACTGGACTGTTCAAGTCAGGGGAGTAGATTAAGAGATCATATCCAACTCACTGGCTGTAAAACTGACCACAAATATACTCTTAAAATAATCCCAACTACCTGTGGTCACTTGACCAATCCCCAAGTTGGGTAATTCCAGACATTTCCTTCAAACAATGGTCATACTTGCTGCTGCCTATGTTAACAGCCATTATTTATGTTCCCCATCATCTGCTTCTCCTTTAATTAAGTTATTACAATTTAATTCATGAAAATAGTACTCACTTAAAATGACCTTGCTATATCTTTTTTATCCTTATTTTCATTATTTAGAGAAAACAAGCACCATGATGTATTTCTTTCAATCAATTATTTCCTTTTTTGTAAAGACATGTTCCCTTTATGCTACATTGTAATGTGCAAATCAATAGTAATTAGTGCCTCTGGAGCTGGCACATTGGTAATATATCATCCTGAAATGAAAGTGCACCACCCTTTTCTTGTCTAGGTCCAACATGACTACCCTATTCAAGTAAGCATTAAAAACTAAATTGCAAGGGCTGTATTTTTTCTCTCTTTTAACTTGTATACCTGAAAAGGATCTGCCATAAATTACCTTCAGATGATTTGTAACAAAATAACAAAATAACCATTTTTGGATATTTTAGTACAGAGTATGTATTGTTACTATCATTTTCATCATACGAAGATACATATTTTAATCCTAGTGAACAAAAATGATAAAAGCTTTTGACAAATTCAAGCATTTTAAGAAAATGAAAAATATCCAAGTAATGATCAAAGAAATCAAAGGTTTAATGGGAAAAAGAATGAACTGCTTTCCCCTTGGATTAAGTTTATTGGGACATATCTACAACTTAATCTCCCGGGTAAAATTAAGCTATTAAATATCCATCTCACAAGTTCACCAAGTTTGACTTTACAACCACTGAGACCAATCAAATGAATTATAGAAAATTAGTTTAATGAAATTCTAAACTAATAAACATTGAGAATTCAACCAACCCTTGCTGTTACAAAGTAGATTTCCTGCACCATTTGTCTAAATTCAAGAACTCTGATATGGAGTTGATATCATGAATTTAAAAGAAAATTCAAGAAAATACACATCACAAACATTTGAAGAATAGCTTTCAATAATAAATCACTGGAAATGAGTCTTTCCATATAAAGACAACTAGACACCCCTTCTAGATAGACAAAAAAATTCAAGTAAATATACTTATCTGAGATTTCTGAATATTCCCTATTAATTATTCTATCAGAGGTATTTACCACAACAATTTCATAATGGACTGTTGTACAGGATGATGGACACTTAGATCATCACGTACATTATCTTCATCTTTGGAGATTCCAATTTTTCCTACCCTGGGGAGGTCTACCCACCACTTCCTGGGCCACTGTCATTTTTGTGGTAGCAATTAGTGTTACAACAGTCACCCCTCTGGGTGAAACAAAATCTATTATTATTACTCTCCTTTATCAAATTCTGTTATAAATATCTCATTTCTTTTTTATCATAAAGTCGACAAATTATATCATGATGCTGGCTTCAGGCAAGTCTGCAAGGCATTCCCACCCCTTTACACTTGAACAAAAAGGGATGTAACTTCCAAAAACTGCAGGGGCCTTACCGAAAATTGGACCAAATTGATTCAAAATTAACCAATTCTTTGAGTGAGAGAAAGTTCAACAAGATTCTGTTTGCTGTAAACATTGGAACCCAATTATCAGTTCAAAGTGTGAAGTTTGCCAACAACTCAGCTAAAAGTAATGGGCAAATAGACACACTCACACCTTCATCTCACCTTCCAAATTCTTTTTGTTTAAGAAACAAATTTATTTCTCTTTATGTCAACTTATTCCCCAAGCATAACCTTGGATTTGGACACATTATTCTGGTGCATTGAGCCTGGACAAATACACAGTGGAAATAGCCTTTGAGGGTTAGTTGGTGCAACAGGTTTTTCTCAGTGATATTCTACTCTTTCAGAATAGCATCAATTTGTTCGTGAGTGCCAGCGCAAGAGCTGGGTCAACAAGCTTCCTCCGTTCAGAAGTAGACAGTGGGTACATCAGGGAAGGAAATAATTCAGTGCTTTATTGACACAGAACATTGTTCTTTTAGCTGAAATGAAGGGCGCACCTATATCAACATACCTTTACAGGTAGTCTCTCTTAATTGGGCTGGAAGATCCACTCTTAACCCCTCTTGAGACAAAATAATCCCCCTAATTATAGACTCCATCTGATCACTAATTAGTAGTTTGCTAACCACAATAATGGAAAAAATCCTTTAAAAAATGAGACATTCAATAGGCCACAAAAAGGAATTAATCTCTCTGATCTTAAGATTATATTTCATTGGTAAACATCCAGCAATCCAACCAACCACTCCTCTACTTACTCACTACTGGAACATCACTATGAGAGCTTCAACTAAATATCAGAATTAGTATTTGTTGGACATATTTATCTCATTTTAATCAC